TATATTAACATACATTAAGTGTCGCTTTCCTCAAATAGTTTAGCACTATGACAAAATTTATATCTGAGTAAAATCACATCAACTTCAATTGGAATTATTTGATGTAAGTAATTGGACTTCTCCCTCCCTCTCATTTCCATATGTTCTTTGACCTCTCTTTTCCCCACCCTCCTGCAGTCCAAAAAGCCCCATGCACACACCCACCTCCCTAATACTCTGGGTTAAGGGCATCAGGAGCATTCTTCCCGGACATGTGCCTCTGTCACTCACGCAGCCACACAACTACCCAGTTGTGTTTCCACTGTGTCCTCTGTGTTCCAGCACAAGGCTGGCACACTGCTCTGACAGTCCTGTGAACTCGGGCCTCCGCTCCCCGTCTCTCTGTAGCTTGGAGCAAAGATCTGAACAATATCCGTGAATCACCTGCAGCTCCATTACGTTTTCTGTGGATTTAATGTTTTATTAGTGTTTCAATACCAATCGATTGTTTTTGGTGAGGTGGAAGAAACAGAATCGAGACATTTATTCAGCGTGGATTTGTAGTTCTAGAAGAGGTCTTTAACTGTGTACGTCTTCCAAAATGGCACCTGTAAAAGGCTGGGTAGTGGGGCTCCTGCTGGTTCTCCTGTGCCCATCCCAGGTCCCGCTCTCTGGTGTCGTGAGTGCCCAGGAACTGGGTGAGGAAGGCCTCCATGCCAGAATTGTTGAGGAGGTTGTGGCCGACGAGGGTGAAGCCGCTGAGGTTGATGATGGAGCAGGTGAAGAAGAGGAACAGGTAGCAGAGGAGGAAGATGGTGAAGACGAGGAAGAGTCAGATGATGATTCAGAGGCTGATGAACAGGAGGCAGAGGAGGAAGAAGGGGAGGCTGAGGCAGAGGAGGAAGAAGATGCTGAGGAAGAGGAAGAGGAGACTGCCGAGGAGGAAGAAGATGCTGAGGAGGAGGAAGAGGAGACTGATGATGAGGAAGAGGAAGTGGATGAGGACAAAGCTGCGGAGGAAGAGGAGGCTGCTGAGGAAGATGAGGTTGAGGAGGAAGAGGCAGCAGAGGAGGATGAAGCTGTGGAGGAGCAAGAGGAAGAGGAGGAGGAGGCAGCAGAAGAAGAAGAAGAGGAAGAGGCTGCTGAGGAGGAGGAGGAGGAGGAGGAGGAGGAAGAGGAAGAGGAGGTAGAGGATGAAGAGGAGGAGGCCGCAGATGAGGAAGAGAAGGAGGAAGAGGAAGAAGCTGCAGATGAGGAAGAGGAGGACGATGCTGAAGAAGAGGAGGCTGATGAGGCAGCAGCAGAGGAAGATGACGAGGAGGCTGATGAGGAGGAGGAGGAGGAGGAGGCTGCAGCTGAAAATGAGGAAGAAGAGGAAGAAACAGAGGAGGAAGAGGATGCAACTGAAGGAGAGGAGTTAGCTGAGGAAGAGGAGGCTGATGAGACTGATGATGCTGAGGACGAGGAAGAGGAGGAAATCGCTGAGGATGACTCCGAGGGAGGGAACGCAACTGAAGCAGAGGAAGATGATGGTATACTCACTTTTCAATATATTGGTTGTTTTTTTATATATATTCTTAATATGTTTATTATTTATCCACTCACTAAACTATGCAGTGATTCAGTATCATATTTATATTTAGTAAGAATGACAAACTGAGTGTTCCCTGACTCTACAGTTGCCTCCTGACTTTGTTTGGCCGACTGCAGATACTGCAGGAACACTGTCACACATATCAGTCCTGAAATAGACCGGCTTATCTGTGTGGTAGCTAAACCGTTCGTGCCTTTTGTTGAACCAATGTGGCTATTTTGAGACCCCAAAACAGGTAATGTGCTGCTAAAGTAAGTGAGTTCAGAAAAAAACAAAAAACCCTGAGATAGAAGCAATATTTCACACAGAATGTAAATCCAAAATAAAAGACGTTTAAAATGAAAAGTTAAAATAATTACTGAGTAGCCAAAGCCAGAATACCTTTAAAATCTGATTACAGCCGACACACCAAAGTCAGACTAATAGATTGTTGATCACTGACTTTCTTTACAATGAGAACATCTTTTTTTTGTCTCAACTGGTGTTCATGCTGAGTTCTTATGCAACAACTTATTATTATTATTATTATTATTATTATTATTATTATTATTATTATTATTATTATTATTATTCAGCTGTGTTGGAGATTGTTCGCTCAGTTGGATCTTAGCTCTTACAGCTGAATCATAAAATATTATTGTGTACGAATATTAGCATTTAACATTAATAACAGGTCCACAACCTGACACTAATAGTATTGATTTCATACTCTCTGATGTAGGAACAGTTAACATGAAGTAGAAGCTATAGCCAAACCAATACCAGGGCTTTGAGGCTGATACTGATCCCAAACCCAATAGTATATTATTTGAACACAAACTGCAATCTTGATACAGATTCCTGAGATATGTTTTTAAGAATTGTTCATACATATATACCAAGTAAGTCATTTAACAGTGTAACAGTCTGTAGCCACACTGGATGCTCTGTGAGCTGCTGTTCTTGCTTACAATGATAATAATAGCAAGCTGATATAATATTGTTTGTGTTAATTGTGTTCAGCCCGTAAGCATGCGAACATTTGCCAATTAGCACTAAATGCAAAGTGCAGTTGAGGCTGATGGCAATGTTATTTGCAGGAATTAAGTCATAAGCCAAAGTGTTGGTAGTATTGGTAAATCTGAACTGATGATGGTGTATTTTAATCAAAGTAATTACAATTCATCCTCTTTTTGGACCAAGTTTTAAAAATTCGGAAATTCACAGTGGTGTTCGAAAAAAGGTCAGGGGAACGCCACCGTCATTAGGATTCACCATGGGGATCATGAATGTCTGTTGAATGATCTCATAGTTGCTGAGATATTTCAGTCTGGACCAAAGTGGAGGTTCATTGCCATCTCTAGAGCTACGCGGCTAGCATGGCTAAAATAGAGTTGTCAGTGCTCTCTAGTGGACAAAAAATGACGCGGTGACATGTTTTTATAAATTACCACATTTTTCTCGTTACTTACTGGCTGATATGCACACCGATATACGACGTATCTGCAATAAGCTAACATCGGCCATGCTGATATATCGATTTCGCCCTAGAGGTCTAATTTGTCGCTGACTGTGTCGACTTTATATAGATGAGCCTGAGGGTGATGACGCAGCAGAAAACGAAGAGGACTCAAGTGAAGAGGAGCCCGCTGCTGATGTGCTGCAGTTCCACCCCGGCTCTTTGTGCAGTGTTTGCTCCATCTGTGAGGTAAAATGATGATTTAAATCTTTCCAGTAATGAATAAGTTTTCATAGTGGTTTACTTTAATGCCTTTTAAGAGTAATAACCTACTTTGACAGCTTTCCATCTTAAGTTGAAACCGCCCTGATAATAGATCAGAGACTAATCATAACTGTACATGGTGTGTCCCCTCCATCTTTCAGCATTGCTCTAATAACTGTGACAATTGCCCCTGTGAAGAGGGAGATCACTGTGACCACTGCGAAGTAAGCACCCCCACTGTCTAAAATGCTGTAAATTATACAATGTGTATTACATAAAGGAGGCATTTCTAGTGGGACACGAACCTCCTTATTTTAACCTTTTTTTTTTGTCTTCCAGGGATGCTCATCCTGCTACATTTGCCCCTTACTGTGTGACACAATCTGCACACCAGGTAAATACTGGTAGCAATTATTCATACTGTGCATGTACTATTGTTTGTTTGTTTGTTTATTTTGTCAACTCTACTTAACTTTTGTATGTTTTTTTAGGTGGCCTTGTTGATGAGCTCACTGGGTCCCTCTTTCAGTAAGATTTCTAATTTCCCACAACACATTGATGTTTAATTGTGCAGTATGATGCTACTGCGTCATTATTTAATATATTGGGAAATGCTATGTAGCTCAGTGTTGACTTTACTCATGCCCTGGCTTTTGTTTTACAGGAGTGTTGCTTCTCTACTTTGAGCAACCCTTTAATGCCACCATGTATTTGCATGAGGTACCACGCTCAGGATTGGAGCTGTCTGGCTTTTCATACCTTTCCAGCAACATGAGGACTACCAGAAGGGCTTGTCGTGAACCTGACAGCTGACAGGATAAAAAAACATATTAAGGTTTTAAACGTTTGGATAACTTTTTTTAGCTTGCCTCGTCAAGAGAGCTGGAAAAAAAATCTTTTCCTTTATTTAATGAACTGCCTACTGTACATTTTCAATGCAAAATGGATAATGACACATCGCTAAGGATAGTTTTTTTTGTTGGAGCATTATTGTAACACAGTTTTAGTTGAGCAGTGTTTATAGGTCGACCTTAGTGGCAGGAATCTGTATGAGTGCACTAGAAAAATGAAAATTACATCTATTGCCACTTATGTAATTTGCAAATGTATGATAATTGATTTTTTACAGTAAAATTTCACACGTGTTAATACAAAAAATTTATACAACATTGATTCTCATCTGGTAATACATTGTAAAAATGACTTGTTTAATATATGACAAGCACAGCTTATATCTGTCACAAATGTGCTTCCAATTAGCTATTTTTTCATACTTCTATTTCACATTGTTAACTGACTTCGAAAGTATTGTTATATTTATGTTTGTGCATATAATCATGACCACTCATTAAAATTGCAGTTGATCAAAAAATATCAATAACTTGGGTCAATAGGCCGATAAAATTCTCCATTGTAACCACAACTTTGCAACAGTTTAACCCACCCCACCCAACTGTGTGTATAGTTAGGTATCTACCTTTAGGTTATATGGGATATGCAAATCTGAAATGATTCATAATAATAAACTGAGTTTAAACAGACAAGTTGTTAGGTGCGATTCTTTAGCAAACAAGGAGAGCTCTAAGCTAACAGGCTCACCTGGGTGACGTTGCCGGTTGCCATGCCCTTAAAAGGGGTTTAGCAACTTAAAGAAAGAAAGAAAAAACAAAAGCAGAAGATGCAGAGATATTCTGACTTTTAGTCCCTAGTATGATTTATATAAAAAAAAAATCAAAAACACTGGATCATAAACTTCCCACAATCCTACTTGATATTTTTTGTTAGATTCTCTTTGCAGACATCATTCCAATTCCAGGCCTTTCAGTTTCTATCGCAGGCTTTCTGTTAAAGATTTGTTGTCTTCAAGCCCAGGCTGAAAAAAAAAAAACAAGATGTGCAAGAAGCTGGTGACATCTGTTTGTTATCTCAAACATTCAAAAGCTCCTCCTGGGGCCATGGAAGATATTGTATGACTGTTTTCAAGCTGAGCAGTACTCAGTGTGACAAGTGAACTGAACCTAATATGTAAAATTGGTTTGAGTGTAATCAGAAGAAGCGGAACAATTGCCGTATGTTTTTCTTTAACAAATCACTTCTATTCACTCTTTCACCTACTTATTTTTAAATTGTATCTGCTATAATCTGATCTGATAGGCTGTACCACGGTCCTACTCAATATACTCTTTTTATTTCCTGGCAGTCATAATCTTATAGGTGGACATTGTCCTAATCAATTAACTGAATTTCTTAAGAGAATTATGCCAACCACAAGTTGTTGCAAAATAATCAAGTCAATTATCACAGACAGATTACTAAAAGTGCAGCTGCTGCTTGGATGAAGCAAGGTGTTTCAGGTGAACTCTTGCCAACCCACTGAAAGTTGTTCCTGCTGAAAGGTTTTTAGGTGAGGTCCTGGTCTGAGTCATGGGGAGAAAGTTATTATTTGTCACTGAGACTTGGCAGTAAAAGGTGGAAGAATCTTGTGAGTGTATTGTTGCATCAACAAACATAGAGCCAGGGCTTTGTACCTTTGAAGTATTGCCCTTTTGATATCGAAGTATTGACACAGTCTACTTAATTTTACTGCAGCAACCAGGCTTATCCATTTATCTACAGGCTATTAGATGAAATGCCTCTTTTATACACACACATAGAATTTATGAATCCGTTTTCTCTTGTCAGACATATATCCTTGTTATTGTTTTGGAAAAAAAAGACCCACTGTTTGTTGAAAATGTGGACAGTGTGTGTCGATTTTATTTTTGTTTGTATAAACACAGACAGGGCTTGGTGTAATGAGGCATGGTAAAGTGTGTGAGGATGAGGTGAAGGGCAGGAAACCTGTTGTGTTGGTTCATTTAAGCATTAAGGACTGATGTATATATAAACACAGGGGCAATTACAATAAACATTACCAGGTATTAGGACATTTGACTCTCTGTCAGGAAATAGTCATTGATACCACTCTCATGTCTGTCTGCTAAACATGGGGGGAGAGAGAGAGAGAGAGAGAGAGAGAGAGAGAGAGAGAGAGAGAGAGCGAAGATGACATGCAGCAAAGGGGGTCGCGTTGGAATTGAACCCGGGCCGCTGAGATTCAGCCTACATGACTTTGCACGCGCTCTAGCAGGTGAGCTAGCATGCGCCCCATGTGTGTTCCTTTTATGTGGAAGAGTAACAGATTCCCTGGGCTGTTTTGTCTAAACTGTAAAACAAGATGCAAAATGTGCAAAACCACATATTGGATGTCTCACCCAGGACAGATTTCACAGGTTGAGCAGCGAATATTTAATCAGATGTGCAATGATACAAGTGGCACTGACAGTGTCACATTACTGTGATTTATAGTTAACATTCTTGCTTGTAGCTTGAAGCCTGACCAGTCAATCAACAATCCAGTGTGTAAAGAATTAAAGTCTCATTTAGCTTCTCAAATATAAGTTTATAGAATCACCTGTCAATTAAAGGCTTAGTTTACCTGTGTTTTGTGTTATTAAAAAAGGATATCAAATTTCAGTGTCAAGTCATTTCCTTTATCGGGATTGTGCTTTTGTGTGTGTATATGTTAAGTCTGTTGTTGCTGAAGACAACACTAAAGGAAGTGTCAAATATCAGTGTAGTTGTAAGCAGATTAAAGTGTTTAAGTTAGTTAAGCACCCAGAAATGGAGGCTGGTTTGTAAGATAATGAACGACAATATAGTAAAATACAATGATATAACATGTGTTTATAAAGGTTTGCATTAATGGATACTTAAAAATTTACAATTAGTGTTTAATGAACCCTTTATTAAATCTTTATATGCTGCTTGTACAAATAGAGGAGATTAAAATAAACTGTTACATATATCAAACTCATGCTTTAGCTTATAAGGGTTAAGGTTTAATTCGGGTTAACTCTTTCACTCCCTATGTCGTGCCAGCATTGTGTATGTAAACATGGGTGCTGTGTCATGGTGCAGGATACATTGAGCTGTGTATGCCCCCTAGATTGTGCAAGATCATTTGCTTTCCCTAAACACCTGTATTTTGATTGCAGTGTCCTGAAGAAAGAGGCCTGTAGTCAAGTTAAATATCTCCCCCATACGGACTAAGTGATGTGTACACAATTGGCCCCCTCCCATTGCATGTCCCTCCTTCTCTATATCACTGACTTGAAACATACTGGGATACTATGCCACCATCTCCTCACTGATGGACTTATTTTGAAATGCACACACTTTTTCAATGAGACCCTTCATTCTAACATACTATGTTTTTTTAAAACCTTAGGGACTCGAAGCCTGGAAAGTAAGGTAGGATGATTTGACAAACTTTGACACATGAACTGTCAAATAGCAAGTTTTAATTCTTTGACATCTTGATTACTGTACTTTGAGCATGGATGTCAATCACTCTTACATTATATAAGATGAGGTCATACGAGGGCTTCATCATTAAGTATACCAGGTAGACATCACTGAGGCTGTTATATAACCTCTCTGAAAACTTGGCTACTGCCGAAATGAGAATGACATAATGAAACAAAAATCCAATTCAAGATCTTGTGATTGATAACAGTTTTTTTTTTGTGTTCCTGAAGATGCATCTCTTCTCCTTTCTGCTGTGCATCAGTTTGGGAGCTTTGGTAAAAGGTGGTGAGTAAAATGCATACATTTCTATTTCTGCTTCTTGTTGCATAATATCTATAATTTGTGTTTGCATTGTAGAGCAGAATACGCTACCTCTCACAATGTTGTTTCCATTTTTGAGAGTAAGATTCTGTTTATTTAGGATGTGAATTGCTGATTTTCTCATATTTAAGCCCCAAAAATGCATCCAATATACAAAACTAAAGAGGTTGAGGAATAGAGCATCGACAAAAGCTATCCATACCATATGATAGAGACAGTGGTGGAAGAAATACTCAGATACTTTGCTTAAAAGTAGTAATACAACAATGTCAAAGAGTCATGAGATAAAACTGAGAGGTATTGACATGATTACTGGACTAGATTTTTATTTATTTGTGGAAATATTTGATTATTTGATTTCTTTGGACCTTAAACTGTAAAATCAAATGAAGAGTTTAGAGGGAAATCTCTTTTGGTGGCAATTACTCAAACAGGGGGCCCCAGCCAGACACAGCTTTTTTAACCTTTAGCAATGCATTGTTTTTTTTAATAATCTCTTCATATGTTTTTTTTTTTAATTAAATTTTTTATTTTTTACAATAAATCTTAATTGATAGAAGTTAGTATACATGTACTTGTAACTGTAGTGAAGTAAAAGGTACATTTCTCTCTGAAATATTGTGGATATAAATTCACTAACAAAAACCACGCCAATGGCTGTATGGAATAAGGAAGGTTTATCACACATTATGAACAAATGTGGAATACTGTGGGAGGGAAAGGTTCGAGGGATGGAGGGGATGAAAGGCTGAAGGGATGAAGGGGTTAGGGTTGAGGGATGAGTGGAAGGGGTCGAGGGTTGAGGGATGTGGGGTATGGGAAGGACGAGTAAGGGCTGATAGGAAGGAAGGAAGGAAGGAAGGAAAACGGTTTGGGTAGGTGGATGGATGGATGGTTGGATGGAGGAGTTCGGCGAGACGGTCAGAGGGAACAGAGTGGGTGTTGAGACGCTGAGTGGGAGCTAAGGTGTGCTTAAATATGTTTTGAGCGGAAATGAGATGAGTTCAGGGCGTGGTCTTTGTTACCAAACCTAGTTATAAAACTTCATGTAGCATAAAATGGATAAAGTGAAGAAAATTTGACATAAGAACGGTACTTATGTGAATGTGTCAGGTCTCAGTTACAATGTTCCTCAGGCAGGGTCGTATTTCATCACATAATGCTAATAAGGCCACATTTGATGCTGTTTGTATCATTTGGCTCCTGTATGTTGGCCATATTTCTGTTTCAGAAACTGGAAGTGACTGGTGCTATACTGGCTGCGGTAAGTAAGGACAGATGTCTGACTTATTGAATTATTTGGATCAAACAATCATTAGTCTATGTTAGTTTGTTGTGACATTAAGAGAACCTCTTAACTTTCATAGACACCACACCGGAAAAATGGGTACACCTTCCTGAGTCTTCCTGTGGATCTGACAGGCAGTCTCCCATTGACATAGTCACCAATCTAGTAGAGACTAACCATTCCCTGGGTAACTTTGCCTTTACCAACTTCGACAATTATTACATCAACAAGTCCATCATAAACACTGGACATACAGGTACACAAACTGAGACTTCCATGTGATCTTTTTTGTCCCTGCCTTTGAATTGTACAACAGTTTCTATATTTGTGAAAGAAGTGTAGAAAGGGCACAAAGCCTTTCGTATGATGATCAGAATGTGTTTTAACTTCTATATACTCCAAACTATAACCACATAAAACGCTTCTCCATCTCTCCCATGCACAGTGAAAATCAATTTGATGGAAGGGGAAGTTGAAGTGACAGGAGGTGGACTCAGTGGAACATATTCTACAATTCAGTTTCACTTTCACTGGAGCAGCACAGAACATGATCAAGGTTCGGAGCACATGATTGATGGGCACAGATATGCGATGGAGGTACAGTATTGTTCACTGGCATTCACTATAAACAACATGCCTCTTTTACATATGTGTGTCTTATTTGACCTTACTTTGTCTGATGGGTTCATGTTATCTGTTGTAGATGCACATAGTCAGTCTGAAGAAAGGTCTTACTGCGGAGCAGGCTGTGCAGGACTCGGAAGGCATTGCTGTTCTTGGGTTTTTTATAAATGTATGTCCTACACTTGACATTTTTATTCCAAGGAAAACTCTTATAGTGCTAACTTTTCCATAAACATCATACATTGAAAACATCACTAAAATTGTAAAATAAATTTTTTTGCAGAATTTCATCCTGCTCATTGGGAGTAAGATAATTGTGGAAATAAATCTAGGAGAGTTTGTTTTGTACATTATCAAACTAATATTGCAAGTGTAATTACAATATCTTCTTTCTAAAGGCAACAGAAGATAATGAGAATATGTCAGGACCATGGAGCAATCTTACATCTTACCTGACAAACACCACAGGTGCCGCGGTTGATATAAGTCATCACTTCTCTATCAAAGACCTGATTGGAAATGTAAACCTCACAAAGTTCTACCGGTATATGGGCTCCCTGACCACCCCCAACTGCAGTGAAGCAGTTATGTGGACAGTCTTTCAAGAGCCAATCAACGTCAGCAAAAATCTGGTGGGTTGAGCAGCACGGAAACCTCTATTTTGCAGGATAAGAGGAGGAAAGGCCGTGTTTAGTGGTAAAATCCCAACAACCCACTGTACACAACCAGCTAGGCAACAGACTGCAGACAGACACAGTTGTCGACTAGCTGGTGAACATAGAGGAGCATTTCACAGCTGAAGTGCTTGATATACGTTGGTAAAGACCAGTAATAGAGCTAGAAAAGACTGAATATCAGACTTACACTCACAAGGTGGCCAGAAACTTCAAATGAATGATAAAGTTGCTACCTGCCATCGCCAGCGGTAAGCAGGTTAACCCATCTGAGCTGTGTGAAGAAACACTGGACTTGAAGCTTCGTATTTCTGTGTGGCAATTTGCTTAGTCATTCTGTACAACTGAACCAGTAAAAATTGTGATGACCTGTGGCGAGTGGAATCACAAACTGTTACACAAGCAGTCACTGATGCATGCAGGCAAGCGTCACCAGAGAACAAGTTCCAGGACATACTGTAGCATGCTGGTATCTGGTATGGTGATCATGTTTGATAATCACTGTTATTTTCTGTTGACTCAACAAGAGAAAATATTGGGCATGCATGTGACTGTATGGGGAGGGGGTAAAAAGCCGTTTATCACTCCTATGAATGACATATCTTACCTCTCCATCTGATCTACCTGACAGCCATACTAACAGTAAGGAGAAACCTGTTCTTGTGTTCTTGTGTCAGGTGGCTCAGCAGGTGCATGACTCTTTGACCTCGGCCGCAGTTATATTAACTACCTACACTTAAAACAGTTAGATTATTGTATTTGAGAACATGCTGACAGCAGCAAATATGCAAAAGTAAGAGTTCAGAAATTGCTGCGGACACCTTTACGACCAAGTCTCAGGAAATAAATGCAATTTATATCCTTCATAAAAGTAGCATTTAAGGCAGCACCATTTCATTGCATTATAACTTTTAAGGTGTGCGTTTAATTCAGACATGTCGATTTCTGTGTAACTTGATATATATGTATCCACATTTCAAGCACCTTTGCACCTCTTATTTTGAAAGACAATACAGAAGTGTGTTACTTGCATATTTTGAAGATGGCAGGTATCGACCTCAAGAATGAAGAGATACCTTGAAACCGCCCAGTTTAAAGCAGCTCGCTTCTCATAATGATTAGGATAAGTGCTTTGTGCTGACACTATGGGCCCTCTGCCAGAAATAAGGAAAGTTTGTGGTTGCTTAACCTGTAAAGATAAAGTAAGGGGGCGTTCACTAAAGGGCCTCTCAACTCATCCTCTGTGTCTGCTGCTAAGAAATTGTACTACAAAATGTGTGTTTGCCAGTTATGTCACTGCAGTGGATCTGTTGGAGGAAACGTGTTTTGCTTTGTTCTTAGATTAAAAAGTTTCCCATGGAGACAAAACTCACCAACAATTATCGGCCTACACAACATCTTAATGAACGTCGAGTGTTTGCCTCCCCTGCTACTACTATACCTCTGAGTGAGTTGAAAAGTCACCACATATAGGATCCTTAATATTTATGACTCTGAGTTGACACATTAAATATGACTGCTCTATTCGTTAGGTCCTCAGTGGTGCTATGATGAGCACTGTGGTACGTATCATATATAAATCACTGACAGTGATTGGACAGTTTAATGCTTTTACAATGGGATTTGGACTCTTAAACATTTGTTTTCTTCTCCAAACCTCAGATTACCAGCCGTCTAATTGGCACGTTCTGCCTTACTCCCACTGCGACGGCGAAAGACAGTCACCCATCAACATTGAGACAAACACTGTGATCGACAAAGATCTTGGTGACTTCAGTTTTACAGGGTTTGAAAACAAAAAAGCCATTGCGAAGATCACTAACACAGGCCACACAGGTTTGAAAGTTTCTTTCAGATTATAGGGTGTTTTTGGTGGATATTTATTGAGTCTAAAAGGACTCAAAGATGGACTTTATTAAGCTTCTGTTAAATCTGTGTATGCTACAATTACTATTATTGATGATTTTCATTAGAATTGATGCTTCCAAAACAAAACTAATGCTTAACTGTATTATTTTTGGGTTATGATTAGAATTGAGTTGTCAAAAATAATAAGCAACAATTTTAATCGTTTCAGTTGTTTTTCCAAGCTTTTATATTTGGTTTGCCCATAATTAAAATAGGAGACATTTACACTGTGCCTTGTGTTCTCGCTCAACTCAACCAGTGAAGTGTATACTGAAGGACGATGTGGTGGAGGTCTCAGAGGGAGATTTGGAATACGTCTACTCCACCCTACAGTTCCACTTCCATTGGGGCTCACAGGACTCCAGTGGCTCAGAGCACACAGTGGATTCACACAGATACCCAATGGAGGTAGTTATAAGCATTAAACTACTGCATTGTTGCTATGAAGGCATTGTTTTCCAATAGATTTTGCTTTTGCCAGTGTGTATACTACATGTCAATATTTGTGTCTTTGTCCAGATGCACATAGTGAACAAGAGGAAGGGTTTAACATTGGATGAGGCAGTGAAGATTCCTAATGGTCTGGCAGTGCTGGGATTCTTTATTGAGGTAACATTTAGTGTGTTTGATGCGTTCGTGTAGTAAGCCAATAGTTGTTATTTAGATCCATACTATATAGTATTTATAAACAGGGTGGAGTGTTTAGTGTGTTCACCCTGGAAAAGTGACAAAATAAAGTATACTCAATACAAACAAATACAAAAACAAATACAAGTTCATGCATATTCGGTCTAAAAAACTGACATTATTTATTTTTTAGTGTGCAATGCACAAAGGAAATGGTGGAAAGCAGCTGAAAACTATTTTAACAACTAATTGGGGATGGTGGTGGTGGTGAAGGGGTCCAGGTAGTGTTATTAAGTTAACATTACCTGACTTCTCATCTATTTATTTCCCACCTTTTTACGACAATCAGCTGAGGACTACACCTGTGTGTCCTCAGCTGATTGGTGTCTGCCCAAGACATAAATGACAGTGTCTGTGCTGTAATCTGGTCATGAGATAATATAAATATAAAAGCACCAAAGCAGGCCAGACTGACGCTACCGGTTTGCATTTGGCAACAGGAGACATACCGCAACATACTGGCATTTTATCTAATAAGAAACAAGATTAAATCTATACACGCGGCCATTAATCACTGAGCTTTTGACGCGTGCACCTGCATTATACAATGCCATTCTTTCACTCGTCTGATGGTTAGTATGAGTCATGCCTGATTTACAGTTTGCTAACACATATAACAATGCTCAATCATTTTGTCAAAGGTTTTGTCATAAATGTCAAATACAAATGTATCAAACCTCTATTTAATGGTGTATAATCATGCAAGTCCAAATGCAAACCTTGTGTATATTTGTACAAACTGTAGAACTGACTACTCATAACGGATTATTTTGCAATTGGTTGAGAGTTTTCAGTGCATATTAGCAGAGGGAACTGTGCTCTCTTTTCTCTCCTGACTATAAACAGCTTTTCTCAATGTCTTTTCCAGGCTACAGATACGACCAAAAGCAGCACCGATTCAGAACAACAGGCAAGTAGTGTAGCTTTTTCAAACCAGCAGATTGTGCTACTGTATAGTCAAACGTTCCTTAATCATTCTCCACGTTTGTCTCTGTAGACAAATCCCGCACCTAGTATGGATGCCTGGAATAAACTGACTCACTACCTGGAAAATATTACAAGCGTTGGTGAGTGCATGCTTGTTTTGTAGGATATAAGATCAAAAATAATGAATGTGGATGCACAAATGTGCCAATACATCTTGTGCATTTTTACCTCCACGTAGGCGCAGAAGTTGAATTTACAGAAGAGATCTCCATTGATGACTTGCTTGGCAATGTGAACCGAAAAGAATACTACCGCTACAATGGCTCCTTAACCACGCCTTCATGTAACGAAGCAGTGGTCTGGACAGTCTTTAAAGAGTCTATCAAGGTGGACAACAAGCTGGTACGTGCTATTCCCCATCTTGGTGTTAAAGGTACTATATTAAACCAGTGGTGTGCCACATTGGCTTTGAATCAATTGTATTGCATAATGCAGTTGCTCGATGCAACACTATTCAAAGATAATTCTTAACTACAGTGGTTCAGATTGGTAGTACAAAGAGATTATCCTCTGGAGAAGTCATTGTAAGAGAACTGTTTGTTAGACTCCATTACAGGACAATCAAAACTGACAGCAATGATCTTCATCAGTGATGTAGATTATACTGGAACACAGTGTTTGTTTGGCATCTCTGTATGCACATGTGGATGCACATCACTGATGTAAGGATTTTAAATAAAATGACTAAGCTTAAGACACTGACAGCTGTAGTTTTAGGGTAACCACATCAATGGAACAGGAGGACAACATGTCCCTCATTTTAGAGAAAAGGAAGTAATTAATTAACATATCTATCTAGAGTATGAGGCTACTGGTGTTCTTTTTCTTTTTGTCAACAAATCCCATTTTTAAAGACCAAGACAAACAATTAATGAATCCATCTCTCAATGCTTTTCTGACACAGCCAGGTTTCCAGCTAATTTTAACCAGATTTACAGAAAGACAACAGAAGAAAATGGGAATTAATAAAAAGTTGAGTGCATTGAAAAACATTTGGTGGTGCTAATTCTCCAGTCTGGTCCCATTAAAACATTGCAAAAGAAGAAGAAGGCTGCAACCACTCTTTGACTACAGAGACAATACTTGTTAGAAGGATCATTCATTATTGGTTTAGGTCTTTTTATCATTGGATTTGTTGACAGAAATACAGAATAGACTTTCAAGCCATCATATTTAATGTGTTTACAAAAGTCAATGACTGCAGATGTCTTCGTGTTTGACGTCAGTGCCAGATACTTGGTATCTACCCTGATGATGCTATCCTTGATCTGTGCTATTTTCACCATTGTCTTCAGTCCGCTCTGTAGAATGTCAAACACAAGTTTAGTCAGAGGTTAACAGACGGGGAAAACCTTCAACTGCTAGGTAGTCTCGATTTATGTTTAGCATTCGAGGGTATGTATAAAAAAGGATATGAGTGTGATACTGTTCACCAATATGGGCGAGAAACCCATACAAAAAATCATAACTTTAACGCCAGTCATCCCTTCATTTCAAAGTCAATGGGCTCGAGTTCAGAGTTAAAACAATAAAACGTATCAGTATGTTTGTACCTTTTGAGGTACCGGGTGATTTTTCTGATTAGTTTGCCCTGCTTTGATTCAAATTGCAGTAATCTGAGATCAGTTGCAGTTGGCTATGACAGTTATCAGTGTAATGCACAAAGAGATAAACATGCAGCCTAGTACCTTTTTTAAACAATGCAGTTTACAAACAATCCTCATCATTGTAGTTATACTGCCTGAGCAGTTTATCTAGTACAGGGACATAATTTATCAAAGAAGTGTCCTTTTATAACAGAAGAACATCAAGTCAAAATAATGGATTACACTTCAGTCTGTCATAAATGATGCCTAACACCATCTTCAACACCACCAGATAATGATGTTCCCGACTGTGACAGAACATACCAACGTGTTTCGGCCTGCACAGCATCTTAGTGGCAGGAAAATCATCAGATCAGCATCCAGTGCCCCTGCTCCCATCATACTGTTTCTTCTGCTGGCATGTATCTGTGCCTTTCTCTTATAATTTGCATTCATGAGAAGGTTAGTTAATTGGAACTATTGTGAAAAATAAAGTGTATTGCACCAATCATCTGTCTTCAACTGTTCAGATTAGCATCTCAATAAGTGTTTCATTTTTATTTACAGAAATCTTCAGTAATGCAATCAAATAATCTCATAATCAAGATATTGTCTATATAGGCTGACCAGGGAAGTTTTATTTTGAAAAATCTGTTTATAAACTCCAGGTGTTACCAGGCCCGCTGCAGCATGTTTTGAACTGGTGAGTGAGTTACCACAGTTATAATGTTGTTTTGACTACTCATTCAAACTCCGACTTCAGTAGTAAAAAATATTAAACTTGCACAATAACTAAATATAAATATCTCTGGATTTGTAGCAAAGTTACTACTTGATCCAATAGTACCTGTTTGCTTTGCTTTATCAAAAGATGTACAAAGATGTGTAGAAATCAAATCAATTACATCTCAGGTGATTCAAGGCTTACGTCTGCTGTGTTAAACCACTAATTACAGTTGTTGACCAGATGAGCTAGAAGAAATGATGAATTACTGCAGTGTGTTCAAGTGAGTGTTCTTGTGCTATAGTTATCAGTGAGGAATGTATTGTTTTGTAACCACTGAAAACAAAAAATAAATAATTGAACCGATACTCTTTGAAGGTGAAATGCTTCCTTGAATTGTGTCACGTTTTCTGCCATCCAGCTGGTGACTAGAAGATTTTAGTGTCCGCCTTTTTATGTGTAATATTTATCAGTTTATCAATATATTCGTAATAGGTACTTTATCAATTAAGTTGCCACCGCTGCTTGCACTCATCCCTAAATCAGTCCACTACAATGACACAAGTCATAGAAGACATCTTTGTAGGAACGCTTTACAGCCATAATGGCCATAATTTATTAAAAATACCCAAAAGAGTATAGATTGAATTATTAGAGATTACAGTTGGCTTTAAGGTTCACTTTGATTTGAACTGTAAACAAACTTTTGTTTTGTGATCTTGGAAATTAATGACTAATTTGGCCTTCATTTCCTTCCTGAAAACATCTATATCATACATCAAACATATCATTTGTTTCCAGATTCCTGTCCATACCTGTCTCTCGGGTTTTAACATTTTTGTCATTACTTACAGGAATAAGGACACAGCACAGGAGAAGAACAAAAACGGGTTGAAACCAAACACTATGTAGAGGTCTGTTTGGCCAATTATAGTGTCTTTTGTTATAACTATGATAATAGGCTTTTGTAACTTAACCTGACGTAACCTCTCTAGTCTCACCACTGCTTGACATTTTGCTCCCTGCTCACCTGTATGTCTCCCCTGTGTTGGCTCAACGCCCTCCAGTTTGAGAACTCACTGAGCTACACTGTGAATGAGTCCCAATTTCATACAGGTGAATCGGGTGATCACACTGGAAACATGAAAAAAAAGGTCCGTATCCACACCAAAAACCATCTGAGTGTTCCGTTGATGTACTGTCCCACAATGCAATGCACAAATGAATTTTGGACGGTTCCAGGAACACTACCCAGAAAGGTACAAACATTCAACCTTTTGAAAAACATGTTGCTTTGTTGTTTAATTCGCAGAATTCCAAAGTCGCAGTTTCATAGACAGGCGTTGGAGCATGTCTCGCACTGGTGTTTCATTTCCTTTTATTATAAAATGTTAAAAGTATTGATTTCTTGTAAACTAAGTAATACTTAATAAAAACTTGTAGGTCACTGTGGGTATCAGGTTAGAATGCATGGAAAAAGGCCAGAAAACTCAACAGAATTGCGTTTATGAACATAAAGGAAGAACAATACACACATGGGCTGTTGAATCCGAACTGCTGCCTTGCCTGAAGGAGAGAGAGAAGGTGAGGGTGGTCTTTAAATGAGGAGTGATAATCAGGTAAATGAGCGGGGAAAACGGGTGAAAATAATCAGTGATGAGGAATGGAGAGGAGAGGAAAAGGGAAAAAGAAAGAAAATATAAACCTTTTACTGCAGTATGATTGAATGCAGGATTGTCTCCAAGAAAAAAGGGAACACCACATAAGGGAACTAAGCCCTGGATCACAAGGGACAAAGACACTCCTGAATTGGGACAGGGTAGCAGAGAGGAGCTAAGGATTGAAGATTAAGATCCAGGAGGTCACCTAGAACACCTACAGGACAAAGATGGAGGTCAGACTGCAAACGAATAACACCAGGGAGGTGTGCAGAGGCATGAGAAGCATCACAGGCTACAATCAACCAAATGACCAGGAGGCAGGAGGTAGCACTACTGATAAGCAACATGAGAACCCCCCAGGGGATTGTACTTTGTTGTCCATCAGTGACTCTGCCATTGCGGGGGGTATCTGCAGGCAAGAGAGGACGAGGAATGCAGTACAAAGGCCTTTTGGATGTTTTTGTTGGGTGGTGCAAACTGAACCACCTGCAGCTGAACATTAGCGAGAGGATGGAGCTGATTGGGGACTTGCGCAGGACGAAGCCTCCTCTGACCCCTGTATCCATACAAGGGGAGGATGTCGAGGTGAAGAAGAAGAAGGCCCAGAGTCGGCTCTACTCGCTGCAGAGGCTCAAAGTCTGCACCTGGCACCCAGGTAACACCCCAAAGAGTGTAATACACACACTGGTCCAACATGCCAACATGCCAAGTTGTGTATGGCCTCGCCTAGGTGTGGCAGTGTTATGTTTTTAACACATGCTCATTCCGGTCAAGTTAGCAATATGCAACATTTGGTTACAATAATAATAATAATAATAATAATAATAAATTATAAAGCTTGGTGAGTTCACCGTTTAGTAAGGTTAAGGCGACAGAACAAACAGAACAATTCAATGTTGACTTTTGTTTTCACACAGGAGTCTAATAGCAGTCTCCTAGGTGAAAGTCCTGTGTTTGTTTGAGCCTCATAATCTACATTCACAGACTGCAGTTTGTTGGCATATTGTATTTGAATCACTTATAGGCCTTATTTTAACTATAATTAGACTTACTTCTAATGTTGTATTTTCTTGCCACAACACTTTCATCTATATTTCCACTCAGCATTGCTATGTTTTGGACTTAAGGTGTCCTATGTGTTTATAAGTACTACTAGCAGCAACTCCAGTAAAATATTATAATTCCTGAAAATTAAGCTGATAACACCTACTACAACTACCATACTACTGTGTAAATTGTATTTCATTCGGTCATGTTTGTGGTTCTAGACTCACAAAACCTGTTAACATGTTTTTTGCTACTCAAAGAAGAACAGTGAAGTGGGACCCTTGAAGGCAGAGTTGTCACAATGAGCCTTTACAAAATCACATGTGGGTTGGGCTGATACATTGCCTCAGACGATGTAGGAAACATGGAATGACACTTTGCCATGTGATTATGCAGGCTAGTGAAACTCGTTTTTTTTCACCTGAATGACATCAAGGATTCTCTATCTGGACTAGATCTACCTGTCTCTGCCTGCCAAGCAGTCCACTTATCCATCCATCTTTTAGTCTCCGTATAATGTAATCATTTCAAATAACTACACTGCATGTCACATGCTTTGTACACCCTGCCATCCACCACAGTGTACTTCCTAGGAAATATGAAAAAAAAAAAAGAAAAGCATTTGAACAAATGACAGATTCTGTTTTTTGGCAAGTCTTTGTGTGAAAATGTTTCTGTTTGGTTTATAATAATAATAATAATAATAATAATTACATATTTAAATGAAATTTGCAAAAGTATTTTCTATTCTATGCTTCATGGTTTGATTGAAAACGCCTGAATGTTGTAAATAGAAATGATACTTCCTGGAACTATACACCCAGACGAATAGCCAGGAATTAAAGTTCTACTTTAATACTAACCTCAGAGAAAAACCCAAGTTCTGTTGCTTCCTGCAGCTCTACGGAGCTTTATAGTGAACTTCACCTCATTGTTTAGCTGTTAGACCACAACTTTAATGTTTTGGTCCAGGCTCAGAACCCTCTTAGTGTCATTTATGGCTGTTTTCAGTGCAAACGCTATACAAGCCGAACGTTCAGCTCAGCACCAAATTGCTGACAGACACAGTTAACCACTAGAGAGAGAGATTTGAGGATATGAACTAGTTTCTGGGTTCCTGGAAAAATCCTTGTGGATGAAACAAAGATCCAAACATCACCTGGGTTTGGAAATGCCATTTACTCCTGTTTTATAAACAGTAGCCTACGTTGTTTTGATGCTTAATAAATAAATACGTGTGTTTTTAACATTTTAAAATTCATACAAAATTTGAGTTTATCTTATTTTTTAAACTGGCTGCAATTTAATTTTACTGTGTAATTTATTTGCATAAACCTACACTTGCTACACTTATGCTTCCTGTTATTACTCATTCATCCAAAGCCCCAGAACATTTTGCAGGAAACTAATGGCCAAGTCAGATGTCACATAGAGGCAGTGTCAGACAGCTGGGGGTTGCCTGAGCGAATAAAAAGGGGAGGAGGATGAGGCTCTTTAGCCATTAGCGGACACTGAGGAGGTACAGGTGCGTCAAAGGTAAGACTGCTGCTCAGGTCAACTGGATTCAGCTGCAGCAAAAACTCTGCTTCGTGCTTTCTAGCGCAATTGAGGGTCTCTTCTATTTAATTTTGTTGACAGCATTTTGAAACTTTCCACTGGTTTGTGATTATTTTCTTTAATTGTTTGAATATTTGATGCGTAACTGGTAAATTGGCTTGTGCCAATTTGAAAACCACGAAAAGTAAAATTAAATTAAACAAGTTGACTTAATTCTCTCACTCATATGTGCATTTTCTTTAATGTGGGTGGTCATTTGTTTTGGAGAAAAACAAAAGTCTTGTTGTTTTAGATGAACTGGCTTGTAGCTGCGCTTGCTGTGTGCGTCCTAGTGCCCAGCGCAAACTGTGCTTCAGACTCAGTCGGTATGTATTCCAACTCTTTTTTTTTTTTTTTTTTTCTTCTAATCTTATGGGATATCCAGTGTCTCACTGGATAAAAAGTGTGGCTCTTTTGTAGACTGTTTTTCCATGAATAAGTGAGTAACTAAATTGTCTTTTCTTCCTCCAGCCTGGTGTTATCATCAGCCAAGCTGCAGTGAGTAATCTCCTTTTTAATCTCTAAATGGCCACAATATCATCCTAACATCTCAAACTGCTCCTCTCCGGCCACTAAAAGTCTTGTTCCTATTTACAGATGACACTACCTGGCCAACCATCGCTGCTAAGTATTGCAATGGCACCCGACAGTCTCCCATTAACATCGTCTCAGCATCTGCGGAACCTAACGCCAACCTGACTGAATTCACCTTTCAGAACTACGGCGACACCTCCATCTTGAAAAAGATCCTAAACACTGGCAAGACAGGTGAGTAATGGGTGTGGACACAAACGTTCTCGTGTGAAGGAAGGGTTAGGGTTATGTGGTTTTAAAGGCACTAATACTTCAAGCTACACACACACACAAATATACTGAAATTCTAGTGTCATGATCTTTCATCCTACAACTGATCACAGCATCTTTTATTTGAATTTCACTTGAATTTCCCTCGGGATAAATAAAGTATCTATCTAGCATCTGGCCATGGAATCCTGTTTTTCCTGTTCAGTTTTGATTTAATTGTATTAATTGTCTTGTTTTTCCAGTCAAAGTCAGCTTGGGCAGTGGCGTTAGCATTTCAGGGGGAGATCTGTCTGAGGCATATGACAGCCTGCAGTTCCACTTGCACTGGGGTAAAGGCTCCTCCATCCCCGGCTCCGAGCACACTGTGGATGGAAAGCGCTATCCCATGGAGGTACTGTACAGTCTTTGTTTTCATGTTGAGCTATATGTTAGAGATTTGTTAACACGGATTATATTATATACAAGTATTTAATTAGTTCTCTTTTCTTATTCCCAGTTACACATTGTAAACAGCAAGTCAACCTTTAATGGGAACACAACTCTAGCTGTTAAAGACTCTACAGGACTTGCTGCTCTTGGTTTCTTTATTGAGGTGAGAGGGGTTTTTGTAATGCCAATATACTGATTGAAGTTGCTCTAAGTATCAGACTTATTTCAAAGTATTCTTCAAAAGTCAAATGCTACTTTTTTTTCAACACTGCATTATTTATGATCTCTTTAAGTTGGTGCTCCACTCTTTATTTATTCATGCCAAAGCCCCATGAAGTATTTTTCCCCCTCCACTGATATGGAAACAAACACTGAAGTGTGTGCACATTTCAGGAAATGTCAGGCAATGAAACTCAGCAACCTGCAAGCTGGAACACTTTGACCTCCTACCTGGCCAACATCACAAACAGTGGTAAGGAGATGCTTTTGTTTTTTTTGTTGAAACCGTGATCTAATGTTGCGAAAGGAAGTGCCCTCACAGTTCACATTTCTACCCTTAGGTGACTCTGTTTCAATTGCACCTGGAATTTCATTGGATGACCTCCTGGTCGGGGTGGATCGTACCAAATATTACCGCTATCTTGGTTCCTTGACCACCCCCAATTGCAATGAGGCTGTGGTTTGGACTGTGTTCAAGGATTCGATCAAAGTCAGCAAAGATTTGGTGAGATTTAATTTTTCCTACTGTGTAATAAGTAAAATGCTCTCAACAGTGCTTCACCAAACTAACTGGCTCAATATCCTGCCTCCAGATTGACCTCTTCAGCACAACAGTACACGTCTCCAACACCTCGTCACCTTTGATGACCAATGTCTTCAGAAACGTCCAGCCAGCACAACCAGTCACAACACAGGCTGCCAGCAGTAGCGCTACCTCCAAAACCTGTTACTCTCTGGGGTTGATGGCACTGAGCCTGGCTCTGGGGAGGAGTTAGGGCCAATGAAGAATGGGGGGGGAGAATTATTGTGGTGGTTTGGCAACTTATGGTGCTGCTGGTAAACCTGTTAGTATACACCTATCTCACTATTTATCCTCTTTCAATGTGATTTGTCTGACTTAAACCTCCAAATTGTTAGGGCGCAGTTTTGCTTGGATTTGACTAACGCCGCAAGAACTTTTGTTGTGTTCCAGTCTAGCTCTCTATATATTTGTCATAATGAATTGTTCACAAACATTAAATGTGATAATGGCTATAGTTGTCCATATTGCTTCCAGGAGTATGAAAAGCTATAAAGAATTTATCAATCTGATTTTAATCTGTTGCTCACTATATTTATGTTAAACATTGTGCACAAGAATGAACATGTTTTGCAGAATGACTGGTTCAGGCACAGCTAATGACTGCGCTTGAGCTGTCAAAGCTACATTTAGGAGCCTGAGGCAGGAATGCACTTGCACTAAGTTTACTGGATAGATGACATAATGGTAACTTTGGGAACTCTGCAATGTAATCTGAGCGTGACAGTATTTAGTTAATGTTGGCAAGTATCTGTATCAAGTTAAAACTACCAAAACATCAATAGTTGTTGACAGACTGATTTTTAATCAGACTTTTGTATTTTTATATTCCCTTTATTTTGATATTTGCAAATGCCATGTATCGCCACATTGCCCAGCTGAACACTCACTAAACTGTGCTGCTTCTTTCACTTGGTGTAATAAGAGATTGATGCTGTGTCGTTTGATCCATGAACACCATCATTTATCAGAATGCTGAACATTATAGATTTTTTTTTTTCCCCCCATTTAGGCCTGTGTTGCACTTCCTGCACATGTAACAAAACTGACTTCTTGATCTTGTGATAGATATATTTCTAAATTAAAAGGATTTGCTGTCAATTGATTTTCTTGAGTCATCCTTCTTTGATAATGAGGGATAAACATGCTTCAAAAATATGTTAAACAAAAGATTGTAGGTTTTCTTAAGCATTGTGTAACGGCATTAAATCTAATCCCTAATGTTGCACTTTGACTGAACATGAGCCAGACACTTGACACTTAATACCCTGCTGTACTTGTCAAAGAGGGTGTATTTTATCACAAAGTTACTTTGCTTCCTTATAAATGATGCCTTTGAGAGTGCAATTGTTCCTCATTGTGCTTTTCAGCATATTTGATGACCTTTTCCTTTTGTAGCTTACCTAAATTTACCCCACTTAAGGAACAGAATAAATACTCCTGTGCAAACTCCCTTGATCAACTTCAATGTGCTGTGAACAAAAGATTCTCTGGTTAACTAAAGGTGTATTAATGAAACATTCCCAGTTCGAATGAAAATATAAAGGCCCTGTAAGTAAGCATGCACAATCTTTCATGCAGAGTATAAGGCAGGGTGTTTAACATACGCTTTTCATGACACTAGTATGTAATTTGATTAGTACTACTAGCAGCAACTCCAGTAAAATATTATAGTTCCTGGAAATTAAGCTGATAACACCTACTACAACTACCATACTACTGTGTAAATTGTATTTCATTCAGTCATGTTTGTGGTTCTAGACTCAGAACCTGTTAACATGTTTTTTGCTACTCAAAGAAGAACAGTGAAGTGGGACCCTTGATTGATCCCTGAATGTTGTAAATAGAAATAATACTTCCTGGAACTATACACCCACATGAATAGTCAGGAACGCAACCAGGAATTAAAGTTCTACTTTAATACTAACCTCAAAGAAAAACCCAAGTTCTGTTGCTTCCTGCAGCTCGACGGAGCTTTATAGTGAACTTCACCTCATTGTTTAGCTGTTAGACCACAACTTTAATGTTTTGGTCCAGGCTCACAACCCTCTTAGTGTCATTTATGGCTGTTTTCAGTGCAAACGCTATACAAGCCGAACGTTCAGCTCAGCACCAAATTGCTGACAGACACAGTTAACCACTAGAGAGAGAGATTTGAGGATATGAACTAGTTTCTGGGTTCCTGGAAAAATCCTTGTGGATGAAACAAAGATCCAAACATCACCTGGGTTTGGAAATGCCATTTACTCCTGTTTTATAAACAGTAGCCTACGTTGTTTTGATGCTTAATAAATAAATACGTGTGTTTTTAACATTTTAAAGATTTTAAAATTCATACAAAATTTGAGTTTATCTTATTTTTTAAACTGGCTGCAATTTAATTTTACTGTGTAATTTATTTGCATAAACCTACACTTGCAATACTGCTGTCAGATTTATGCTTCCTGTTATTACTCATTCATCCATACCTATGCATGTTTAAACAAATAAATAAACAAAAAAACAAATACCTCCTCTGCTTATTAGCCCCAGAACATTTTTCAGGAAGCTAATGGCCAAGTCAGATGTCACATAGAGGCAGTGTTAGACAGCTGGGGGTTGCCTGAGCGAATAATAAGGGGAGGAGGATGAGGCCCTTTAGCCATTAGCGGACACTGAGGAGGTACAGGTGTGTCAAAGGTAAGACTGCTGCTCAGGTCAACTGGATTCAGCTGCGGCAAAAACTCTGCTTCGTGCTTTCTAGCGCAATTGAGGGTCTCTTCTATTTAATTTTGTTGACAGCATTTTGAAACTTTCCACTGGTTTGTGATTATTTTCTTTAATTGTTTGAATATTTGATGCGTAACTGGTAAATTGGCTAAAATTAAATTAAACAAGTTGACTTAATTCTCTCACTCATATGTGCATTTTCTTTAATGTGGGTGGTCATTTGTTTTGGAGAAAAACAAAAGTCTTTGTTGTTTTAGATGAACTGGCTTGTAGCTGCGCTTGCTGTGTGCGTCCTAGTGCCCAGCGCAAACTGTGCCTCAGACTCAGTCGGTATGTATTGTATATGTGTTTTTTTTTTTTTCTTCTAATCTTATGGGATATCCAGTGTCTCACTGGATAAAAAGTGTGGCTCTTTGTAGACTGTTTTTCCATGAATAAGTGAGTAACTAAATTGTCTTTTCTTCCTCCAGCCTGGTGTTATCATAAGCCAAGCTGCAGTGAGTAATCTCCTTTTTAATCTCTAAATGGCCACAATATCATCCTAACATCTCAAACTGCTCCTCTCCAGCCACTAAAAGTCTTGTTCCTATTTACAGATGACACTACCTGGCCAACCATCGCTGCTAAGTATTGCAGTGGCACCCGACAGTCTCCCATTAACATCGTCTCAGCATCTGCGGAACTTAACGCCAACCTGACTGAATTCACCTTTCAGAACTACGGCGACACCTCCATCTTGAAAAAGATCCTAAACACTGGCAAGACAGGTGAGTAATGGGTGTGGACACAAACGTTCGTGTGAAGGAAGGGTTAGGGTTATGTGGTTTTAAAGGCACTAATACTTCAAGCTACACACACACACAAATATACTGAAATTCTAGTGTCATGATCTTTCATCCTACAACTGATCACAGCATCTTTTATTTGAATTTCACTTGAATTTCCCTCGGGATAAATAAAGTATCTATCTAGCATCTGGCCATGGAATCCTGTTTTTCCTGTTCAGTTTTGATTTAATTGTATTAATTGTCTTGTTTTTCCAGTCAAAGTCAGCTTGGGCAGTGGCGTTAGTATTTCAGGAGGAGATCTGTCTGAGGCATATGACAGCCTGCAGTTCCACTTGCACTGGGGTAATGGCTCCTCCATCCCCGGCTCCGAGCACACTGTGGATGGAAAGCGCTATCCCATGGAGGTACTGTACAGTCTCTGTTTTCATGTTGAGCTATATGTTAGAGATTTGTTAACACAGATTATATTATAATTATAACGTTTCTTATTCCCCCAGTTACACATTGTAAACAGCAAGTCAACCTTTAATGGGAACACAACTCTAGCTGTTAAAGACTCTACAGGACTTGCTGCTCTTGGTTTCTTTATTGAGGTGAGAGGGGTTTTTGTAATGCCAATATACTGATTGAAGTTGCTCTAAGTATCAGACTTATTTCAAAGTATTCTTCAAAAGTCAAATGCTACTTTTTTTCAACACTGCATTATTTACAATGTTCTCTTTAAGTTGGTGCTCCACTCTTTATTTATTCCTGCCAAAGCCCCATGAAGTATTTTTCCCCCTCCACTGATATCGAAACAAACACTGAAGTGTGTGCACATTTCAGGAAATGTCAGGCAATGAAACTCAGCAACCTGCAAGCTGGAACACTTTGACCTCCTACCTGGCCAACATCAGAAACCGTGGTAAGGATATGATTTTGTTTGTTTTTTTTGTTGAAACCGTGATCTAATGTTGTGAAAGGAAGTGCTCTCACAGTTCACATTTCTACCCTTAGGTGACTCTGTTTCAATTGCACCTGGAATTTCATTGGATGACCTCCTGGTCGGGGTTGATCGTAGCCAATATTACCGCTATCTTGGTTCCTTGACCACCCCCAATTGCAATGAGGCTGTGGTTTGGACTGTGTTCAAGGATTCGATCAAAGTCAGCAAAGATTTGGTGCGGCCGGGGCACCCCGAGAGGCACCCCGCATGGGTTTTGGGTCTGATAAATGCACGCATCCCCGGAGGTCAGCGCTCGTTGGCATGTATTAGCTCTAGAATTGCCACAGTTATCCAAGTAACGTTAGAGCGATCAAAGGAACCATAACTGATTTAATGAGCCATTCGCAGTTTCACTGTACCGGCCGTGTGTACTTAGACTTGCATGGCTTAATCTTTGAGACAAGCATATGCTACTGGCAGGATCAACCAGGTAGCCCTGTGCGGACAGCGGGGATCGGCTCGGGGACGCCCGACCGAAAACCCGTGCGCCGAGGGACGTGCTGTGGCCACCGCCGGCCGGGAGGTCGGCGGGGCGAAGCTTTTGTGAGCGTAAACGCGGGGAGTGGCGAGAGACGGTCCTTGTGGGGACATCTCTCCTTCTTACTCCCAACTCATTGAGTGTTGGCAGGGTTTGAGAAACATAGTTTTACATTGGCGCGATTATTTCTGATATATTGAGCAAATTCGACTGGTCGCGTGACTGTTTTCCCAAGATGGCGCCCGCCTGTATCTAAACTATCTTTTTAATAAACTGTCTGTACACTTACAAAGTTCTCAATGCTTCGGTTTACAAGTAGGGGCCCTCATTATGCCACCGTGTAAGTGTGGTGCTATTTTGAGTCTTGTTTGTGGTATAGGAAGAGAGTTATAAGCTAATTAGCGGTTTGTGCTAAAACCGGTCACGTGCGATGAGAATGAAAACATATCCCAGAGACCGGACCAACTCGGTACACATGTGTTATTAACCCCAGGTTCATTTTGCGCCGGAATTGTCCTTTAAATCGGCAAAAACGCTGTGAACACGCGAATGATGCAAATCCAAAAACACATAAAAACAAATGCAACAGAAAAACACAGCCACAGAAAAATGCAGCAATCACAGAAACAAAGCAGAAGCAAAAACCTACAAACCCACAAAACAAATGCCAAAGAAAAATGCTGCAAATACCAAAAACACACAAAACCCCAAAACAACTCCAAGATAGAAACGCTGCAAATTCACTCAACAAAAAGGAGGTGCTCCAGGCCACTAGGGGGACTGACCTGAGGGATGGACCAGTCCTGTGGGACTAGACCCGAAAGACATGAAGAAGAAGAAAGTTGGCTAAGTTTTGGAGAGGAGAGTAAAAAAGGTACGTTTTCCTTTGTCTTTTTTAAACACAATATAATAATAATAATAATAATATAATAATTATATTATATTTTTATAATATTAAATAGTATTAAATATAATATCAAAAGATTAATGGCAAGTGTTTAAAAAAGACAAAGGAAAATGTACCTTCTTTACTCTCCTCTCCAAAACTTTAAACTTTCTTCTTCTTCATGTCTTTCGGGTCTGGTCCCACAGGACTGGTCCATCCCTCAGGTCAGTCCCCCTAGTGGCCTGGCGCACTTCCGTTTTGTCAAGCGAATTTGCAGCGTTTCTAGCTTGGAGTTGTTTTGGGGTTTTGTGTGTTTTCTGTTGCATTTGTTTTTATGTGTTTTTGGATTTGCATCATTCGCGTGTTTGCAGCGTTTTGCCATTGTCGGCTACCGTACTTCTCAGCATATTTGACCTTTGCCTTTTATGGCTTACCTAAATTTACCCCACTTAAGGAACAGAATAAATACTCCTGTACAAATGTCCTTGATCAACTTCAATGTACTGTGAACAAAAGATTCTCTGGTTAACTAAAGGCGTATTAATGAAACATTCCCAGTTCAAAAGAAAATATAAAGGCCCTGTAAGTAAGCATGCACAATCTTTCACGCAGAGGTCCTGCATGTGCGTGACTTTGCTTTCAAACGTGATGTTCTTACTGTAAAACTGTTAGAAAATAAAAATTTAAAAAAAATAAAAAAGCTAACCCGACTTAGAGTAACGCTCCTGATTAAATGGCCATGTATGTTATGTTCCAGACGGAGAGGTCTTCCTAATAAAGATATCAATCGTTACCCTCAGATGACACATTCTGTCACTGGAGAATGATGAGCATGTAGACTATTCTATTAAGATTTAAATATAATGCGAGTCCTGCATATGAAACATGAGATAAGGAAGAACACAGCATCAGCCCGAGGGTGATCAAGAGATAATTTTCTAAACTTTAAAAAAAAATAAGAAAAAAAGTGCAAAAAAAACATTAAGAACTTTTCATTGAGAAGAATTTTAATATTTTCTATTAAACACTTAAAATTGTCCTATTTGTTGATTCCTTGCACACAGACCTGCAGCTACAGTACAACATACTTTTATAGTTGCCATATAACTTTAAAGCATTAAAATGAACATTACATTTAAATCAAAATCCCTAAACCTTACTAACTTAAATGATTTACTTAATTACACCTTAAGAGCTCCACCTCAAAAGCATTACAGTGACAGATATAAGCAACATTTAATGATCAAATAAGAAAATGTTTTTTTTCTTTTATTACAGTAAAAGAAATAAAATAAAAAAAGCTTGAATGTGTATGTCACAATGTCTACTTCTGTCCCTTTTGTACAGTTGTTTTTCCTGTTTTTTCAGTCATTAACCCCTCCTGTCATTTCAGATATGTGCTGTTCTCCAACCTGCCCTGCAGTTGCACCCAGTACAGCTGTTCCCCATTCCCCTGCATATACATCCGCACTCTTTTCATCCTTTTTGTTCCTTATCACAGCCTGTTTCTGGTTTGAACTCGTACCTGAGTGCCTAAGTCTAATATTTTAACTGCTCCTGCTTGTGAGTCCACATTTCTGTGTGCAGAACTGTAATAATAATAGCGGCCGGGTCAACAAAAGTTAGATTTTTCTTCTCGATCATTCTCATATTTACAACATCAAACACCAAAATATACAAATAACACAACAAACCACAGGTCCTTCTTCACAAAGCATATTTCTGTTTGTACTGTGTATATATTTATATGCACGTGCACAAATCTGCTCAGAATTTTAAAAAAAATTAGCTCTGATAAAGAAATTGACTATTGCACTTAATTATGTTTGTGTTGCCTGTTTACTGTCCTAACATAAGGTGGTTGTGTAAGGCCTCATTACAGGGAGTACCCTACGTGCTGGATTTCTGTGTTCCGCGTAATCTAATACTCACTATAGAAAAAGGAGGTGTGAAATTCTATAGCGGGAAGGAGGGAGGACACGAAATTTACTATTTTCACTGGTCAGCAGTGTGTAAATAAAATAAGTAATTACAGTAACATAGGGTTTATGTTAAAGTATAAGGCAGGGTGTTTAACATCCGCTTTTCATGACACTAGTATGTAATTTGAAACCAGCTAATGGATTGTAATGTACTCTAAGTGTATGATGATGTAAAGAGCTTTATTACCCCCCAGTGAAATAAGAGAACTAGTACAAAAAAAGCCTGAAGCCACACAAATCAGTCAGGTGTCTATTTTCTAATAAACTTATCAATTACCAATATAACAGAGATCAGGAGGAGCCAGCTGCTTCTTAGGCCTGAAGATGATCCCTTTATGTCACAGCTGCACTCCTTTGGGTGTCGAGGATTGGCTGGAGCAGCGGGGGTTGTAGGCGGAGCTGGACATCTGAGCCAGTCTACAGCAATGGACTTAGGGGTGACGACATCTTGGTTGAGTCCTCCTCTCTTCAGCACCCAGTAATGGTTGTCCTTGAAGAAGTAGCTATCTCCTAAAGAGCAGCAGCAGCAGTTCTTTCATCACATAATGAATAATACATGAGCCTATTAACTAGAGACACACAAGCAGCGGTAGACCGTAACGTACTTGAATATTTCTATTTTATGCTATAGTCACTTCTTACGTCAGGAAACCACTTGTAAAAACATGGTAAAAAACCTTCACAGCGTCCCTTTAAGGGCCTGTCCTCACAAATACGTTTTTCTCCAATCTGGATAAATACTCTATCGTATCGGCCTCGCGTCCAGACGGATACGGCGTTTTCGGGGTGTGAAAACTGTATTTTTTGGAAACGGGTCCCAGAGTGGGAAAATCCGAAAACGCCAGATTGCCCGGAGTCGTCTGGACGGTGAAAACGATTAGCCCCGCCTCTCTAGCCTTTAACCTCAGCCGTCGCCGCTAGACGCGTCATAACAACAACAACAATGGCGGACTACTACTACTTGTTTGTAAACAGCGCATGCTCCATAGCCTCTCTTCCGGTTTAGCGTCACAGCGCCACATACAGGCCTGGCATATGTACTACAGCGTTTTGGGTCGTTTCAGTGAATCCGTGTGGACGCAGATATTTCTGAAAACGACTCCATGTTTACGGAGATTTTTTTCAAAACGACATCGTATTTGGTGAGGCCGTGTTTTTGTGAGGACAGGCCCTGTGTTTGCCTTTCAACTGAGTGACACTTAAGGAAGTTAAGGTAACTTAGGAATTTAGTCCCGTTTTGTGTCTCAACAATAGAATACAAGACAATAGGTCTTTGTTTCTTGGCCAATGGCCAACCATTAAGTTTCGGCCCTGCAGGGGAAAAAGTCTGGGCACCTCTTCTTTAAGTAAAGGACATGAAATGATTTCTTCCACCACTGCACATAAAGCAACAAAATATTCTAAATTAAACTTTAGAGATTATATTTATAATGTCTGGTTTTCATATTTGACTGTATTGTATGCTGTCATTCAAGTCAAATAGTTGATTCATAGTGTCTATTTTTACTTTTTCTTTCCCTTTGCTTTGATAACACAACACACCTTGTAGCAGCTTGTGCATTCATTGTCTAAAATAACCTTCTCTATGCTCTATTGCTTATTTATCTTACACTGGTATCAGAAACCCATCCCATATTTATGCCTCTTAACACAATGTTACCTTCTCCCCAGGTGATGACGTCATCCATGTGGGAGGGCACTCCTCCCCAGAGGCTGTTGCTCCGTGGGTAGTCCGGCGCTTGCAGCCAGGTCACCTCTCCGCTCCCATGGCTCTCGTCAAACCTCCAAAACTCCCCGTTGCTGAACAGGTATGTCTTGCCGTTGTGGGCCCAGATGAAGGCTGCATCCACACTCTCCACCAGTGCCCCGCTCTTTGTCCTCATGCCCCATTCAGAGAGGGGTCGAGGGTAACCGGCCATGGCCACTGTGTCCTTGAAGACCCAGTACTGAGATCCTGGACAAGCGTAGGGAAAGTGTGAGAGAGAATTTGTTTGAGTAAATTAAAGTCAAAAAGAAGTTTGTGATGCTTACAAATTCCTGCTACAGAGATCTTTAGATTAATAGTCGTTCTACGGTAACCACGCTAACATCCTGTCTTACAAGCACCTTAAAAATAGCATCAAACAGACATGAGAAGAATGTTCACACTCCAATCATCAAAAATAGACCAAAGCCACATGTAACCACAGGATTTTGTTTCTCACCAATGAAGAAGATGATTTTGCTGTCACTCTTCCTCTCATACACTGCGTCGACCTTGTTTGTTCCTGGCGGCAGGCCAATCCAGAAGTTTTTGATCTGAGCCGGATTGAGGGACACTAAAGACCCGTCTTGCTTAGTTCTCCAAAAGTGTGCACCTTTCCGAGAAAAGAGAATGAACATGACACCATCACGTGTCTCTCAGATCATAAAGACTAATAATATCACTAAAATACCGGCCTATTCTGAATATGCTTTTGTCACAAGAACAATGTCGACAATAGACAATAGATTTGGGGTATTTTGAAGTAGATTTTAATCTTGGGAAATGTCTCCTTTGTGTATCCCTGATAGTTTCTTCTCACCTTTAAAAAAGAAGACCTCTCCCCTGATATTTGCCACTGCGTCAAAGCCTCCCTGACAGCGCTCGCTGAATGAGGGGTCAGAACTGGGACAGAAAAAGTCAAAAGTCAAAATTCATATATTTTATAGAATACAGTCTGATGAAAATTCACTAGAGGGTGCAAGAAGACCAAACACTGTCACAGCAAGGATCAATAAGAAAGCTTTTATCTGTGTCCACTAGTCTTAAATTACTCTTTTCCATTTATTAGATTGATTAGACTGAGTGCATACAACACAGGATATTCATAGTTTGTAAATGCTAATTATAAGTGCTTATTGTCTGGATGGATGTAGAGTAGTTTTCATTCTTTCCTCTCGCTCTACTTACGGCTGTGTTGGTCTTGGAGGAGGTGGACTGGGCAGGCGCGGGATTTCAGGATCAACACCACCTGGCGGCCCTTCATCCTTCACACCTACAACAGCATGGTTACAGCGGACAATGTTGAGGAGGCATTGACGGCATTATGATGACAGCACTAGAGAAATTGTGCAAGCAACCCACATTGTTCTCAGTAGTCAGGGGAGTTTGACACACAGGATGCAAACACTCTTCTTTAGGACACAGAAGGAAACTGTTGAAATCCCCTGTGCATGAATACACCTTTACACACATTGGTACTCATAAATCATTTTTTCGGAGGGTGGTTTTTGGCCCATTGATTGGGTATTTATGGCCTTTTATATTCCATGTTCAATGCTTAAGCTATAACATAATGCACTTGCAATTTGAAAAAATGTAATTAAATAACATGATTTTCTTAAATTTTCACTTAATACAATCACCACATAAACAATCAGTAACAGCTCAACATTGACTTCTAGTTCAGGGCCACTTCTCCCTTTTAGGAGGAAATCACAATGTCATAACCAACCACCAACGGACATGTTCACATGGACAGTAAGCATTTTATACCTTAATAAATTAAGTAATAGGAAACTTCAGGACATGATGAAAGGCCAAAAGAGAACTCAGGGATAGTTTTACTATGCTAGTGGTGTGGGATTGTTGGTCTGTTTGATGGTTTGTGGGTCCACCACTATGGTCTAGACTGAAATCTCAGCCACTATTGGATTGGACTGCTAAATTTTGTACAAACATTCATGGATTGGTGATCCGATGACTCTTCCACTAGCGCCATCATCAGGTTAAAAATATATTCATCTTATTTCTTGTGCAAAACTGGCATTCCCATCAGCCTCAGTTGTACTTTGTGTTTAGTTCGCTCTGATTACTAAACATCAGCATGTTAACATTGTCACCCTGAGCATATTAATTAATAAAACTGTCCAGCTGTCTCTTAGCTAATCTAATCTCATGTCAGCATGATGATGTCAGTTCAATTGTCACTGACAAAGTACAGCTTCACAGAGCTGCTAGCATGACTATAGACTATTTCTGTCAGTACATCCACTAGCCAACATTAAACCATAAAATAAAGCAGATGGAGGACTACAACACATTGTACAACTGTGTAAACTATACATTAAGTTTCATTTTTTAACTTAGTTGAAAACACACAAACAGACATGAGAACACCAAACATCAACACATACTGTAATGAATATCCCGTACAGAATGTAATTAGTGCTACTGGTTACCATAAAGCTGCTGGATGGCCTGCTTGTCGTCCAGGGCCAGCATGAAGTTTTGAATGTCTCCCACAGGGCCCTGGTAGTATGGCCTCATGATGGACGGATCAGAGGAGGAATGGGACAGGCCCAGTGCGTGGCCAAACTCGTGCACTGCAACTGTGAACAAATCTGTTGTGCTGCTGGAACCTGAGGAAGTGTGAAGAAAAAGTGTTCCTGGATCACATAAACAGTCATAAATAAATTAAGAGTTTATTGTCACTGAATAAGCATTTATTGAATTCATCATTTTTTTATTACTATAGATCACTTTGTCAGTAGACAGACACATCTTGAGAACAGGTCTTTATACATCCCTCCATCATGATGATTTCAATCAGTTATTACCTCCATAGCTCCAGATCTCATCATCATCAAAGTGTGTGTCACCCGCCATATCATTCCTGCCGGGGAAGAAGGCATGGGCCAGGGTGCCACCCTGCCCGTCAAAAGGGTACCCGTCGTCGTGAAACATGCTGGTAAAAGACACTCTGATGTCCCCCCCAGCTGCCGCCACCCTGCTGTCACTCGGCAGCCAACGGAAATTCAAGGGGGCTGCGTCGCTCCAGGCTTTTAAGGCGTGAGTCAGGATGTTGTCCACCAAACTGTTAGGCAGGCCGGGTGAGAGGGAGGGCGATGGGTAGCTGTGGACACTGCAGACAAGAATGGATTTTGTATTATAACAAAGTTAAGTTTTAATTATCCTTTAAATCTGTTCACTGTCTGTGAGATTTTTGTTGTTGTTTTACTCTTTGTCACCCTTTTTGTGTTTTGCTAAATTCCAAATGCCATGTGTCATTTTAATACATATCACATGTTTCTAAATTTCATTAAAGAGTTAATATGGGATATTTTGGTTTTTGAGAACTTTGCTATTTATCCCATTTAAACCGAGGTTGAAGGATCCAATGAAAAGACCGAAACCATCAATAAAACAATCCTACTAACAAAAAAACCCAAACACATTTAGAGTATTGAGAGATGGACTGGAACTTTTTAATCAGAAGAAAAAAACAGAATAACAACAGTCTTATTTTATTTCACTCTTTTAAATCTTGTCTTTTTATATTGTTCTTCATTCTTTTCTTTTTGCCTTTTCCATCTTATGTAAAGCACTTACAATTGCCTTCTTGTTGAAAGGTGCAAAACAAAGAAGAAATGTATCTTTCTAATTTGTCCAAATTATTATATTTGTTAAGAAAGATTGCCATTTTTTAATCTGATCTTCATATTGTATGCAGAGATACAAAAATGAAGAGAAGCTATTGATAAGGTTGCGTGACAAAAGCCTGACATGTTATAAAAAGAGCTATGATTCATACAGAGAAGACAAAAAAACCACAGTGTCACATGACAGGAAACACACCTCCATGTGAGGTCTGTCTTATGCCACTTGAGGCCTGACAGGGCATATCTTTTCCTCCTCCTCCTCCTCAGCATGTCTTCACTTCCAACAATATCAGGGAGGGAGCATCGTGGTGTGGACATGAGTTTGAGGGTTTCACTGTCTAGAAGAGAAGTCACATAGAGAAATGATGAAACCGAAGAGCAGATTACAGGAAGTTTGAGACATGTGACCACCCCTGGACATGTGAAATCTAATATACACATAATATATTGTCCAGATAGCTCTAACTTGAGAGGTTTTTACCGAGCACCCCAGTTTCGTGGACCCCGCCGTATCTCTGCATGACACGGATGGCTTTTTCAATCCCCTCTTTGGTCTGCAGTTTACTTGCTCGCGGGTCAGGCGGAGGAAGATAGCCATACCTGCTCAACCAATCCTGGACAGAACACAAGGAAACCAAAGGAAATTTGATAGTCTGTGCACCATAACCAAGATTACGGGCATAAATTGATGTCAAGGAGGATATTTGATGCACTGCTCTACTTGTTACTGTATATGAGACCCAGTAGATTCCTCACAATGCAGTGTCTCAGCCTTTTTTCATCATTAATATTATATGATCATGTTTTCAGTGAGTGAGTTGCTTGACAGGGTAAAAGCAGCTTACAACTGATAATTTGCAAACTCAGAATAACTGAACAGAGAATGGACTTAATACGACGTTAAATCTAGTGGTATGTTTTCTGCTTCTATCTCCTTTACCAAAATCTGTTTCTTAACGTGATATTGAAACCTGCCCTCCCTCCTCCACCATACCTGTAGTTGCGGTTGCATAGGCGGCAGAAAGAAAAGGTGTTGGCTCATTCAACAGTTTCTCTGTGGGTTTTTATAAAAATTGCATCCACCTTTCATCATCTACTCAGGCCTTATATTTCTATTGCAACAAAAACAGATGATAGCTGTATTATTTCACTGTTTGACCCAAGCAGCATCATGCAGACTAAACATGAGAACTTGTACGGTAACAGAAGTGAAACTTGACGTTTCAGATTTTTTTTTTTTTTTACAACAATGACGTTCATACATGTGAAATTGTGAAAAATAAGAAGTATTTAGTCATTTTTTAGGGAAGTGTGAATGAACTATGATGCTCAGAGATTTTCAAGTTTCATGATTTTAAATATTTTACAATCAGTAAAAAATGTACTCAGAATATTGTTATTGTCTTAAATTCAGAGTTCATACTTGGAACACTGCAAATAAAAGAATAAAAAATAAAGACCACTTAGGATTAACATTTGTTTTACCAAAAACAATTTTCAAAAATAATTCAATAAAAATGGTTAAATGCACAAAACAAAATATGAATTTGATTTCTTTTGTTTTTTATAAACCTCGTGAATCGTGTGAGGCTGGATTAAAAATGCTTAATGTCACAAAAGTCCAAATATAACAAAGTGATCTTTTTTGACAATTGTGAACAGTCAGAAATTACCAAATTAAAATCAGAGCAGCCACAAATAACCCAAATTAAAGAGTTTTTCCCTTTCTTTAGTACTCACCACCGCTCTGCTGTACTGGTCAGTCGGTGCGGGTGCGCTTCCCGTTAAGGTCAATACCATCAACAGCAGAAGACCCAACTCCATTCCGGTCACTGCAAAAAACCCGCTGCATTATTACCGGTATACTTATCATTTGGAGGCAACAGAGACATTTCTCGCTTCCTGTTGTTGTAGTAGCTTTCTTTCAAACCATCCGAAGCCAAGAGAAGAGAATCAAAGCTCACCGTCGTTCTTCCTCTGTAGTCTCTCTTGGGACTAGGCTTGGCTGATCGATCAGTAAACTCTCTGCCCTGCCTCACTGATAGTAAAGCGAGCCGTTGCTTGTAGGTTTCCTTTATGCGCTTCCTTTATGAGAAGAAGCGGGTGTATGGTGCGCGCTGCTACAGGTGCAGGTGAGATAGTGACGATACATTATAAGACAGTCATAGCAATATTTAATCTCTTTATTTATATTAAAACTTACTTTGGTTGACTTGTTTTATATGCTTTCCTTTATAAAGGGTTTGTAACTAATGGTTCACTTAATAATTGCTTATTAATGCTTTATAGATCAGTTATAAGCCCTTAACAAGAACAAATTCCTAATCAGTCATCTGTTATTAGAAATGTTAAAGGTCCAGTGTGTAGGATTAAGTGGCATCTAGTGGTGTAGAAACCAGTGTTTGGTTTGTCCATTATAGGCTACTGTAGAAACATGGCGGTTCAAAATGGTGAACTCCACTGGGCCGGGTGTCTGCATTTTTAAATATTAATAAATTGTCAATAAATAAATGCAAGACTCATTCCCCTGAGATGCACCACAGAGTGGCAGGAAGTCATTCCTGTCTGTGGCCATTAAACTCTTCAACTCCTCCATCAGATTGTCAAAACTCTGAGTCAATAGTCATTAAACTGGTGCAGTTGAGGTGCAGTAAGTCGATGAAGGTGCAATACCCTAATACGTGTAGTCCACTTGATTATTATGTCATTCTTTGCAATTATCTATAACATCTGCAACACCACAATCTTAAAACTCATAATTTATTTAATTTCTGTCAGCAATACTGCGGAATATGTTTACACTTATGTTTAGATTTAGATTCAAGTCACATGATTTGGACTTACAAATTTGATGACTTTAGACTCTTGACTTGATAAAAAAAGACTTGCAACTCAACTTGGACCCTAATGACTTGGACTTCAGCCCTTTGACTTGAAAATACTTCATACCTTCCCTCAAGCCCAAAGATGAACAAGTATGTTATTTTAAAAAATGTACCTCAAATCAATTCATTTCCTAAAACAAATAGTTCAAAGCTGCTAGTTCAGGCAGGTCAACTCGAGCTGCGCTGATTACACACATGACATGCCTCATTCCATAATCCCTTACCAAGCGCACCTTTCCAGTCTGGCGGTCTATTTAAACTGCACAATTTCCGAGCTCTCCCTCTGCTCTGTCATGCCGCTGCTGCCCTGCATCCGTATTGCTGCTGCTGTGCTGTAAGCCCCACCACCATCCCAGCATCCATCTGTAGGCTCCCCAATTTCTCTATGTAAACATAGCTGTGGGGATTGATGAGGTCGGAGCCTAGATGCAGATCCACTTTGTTTGAACCAATCCAGCATTGTCCAGTCAATTCGCAGGAGAGAACCACAAAGAACTAAAATGATCTTATTGAGAGACAAAAATTCTAATTTGTTTTGTTTGTTCTGTTGTTAAAATTGCCTTACATTTGGTAAAGAGTGCATTATGACTTGTTTAGGACTTGAAACTTGATTTGGGACTTTAGTGCAAAGACATGAGACTTTCTTGTGACTTGCAAAACAATGACTTGGTCTCCCCTTTGCACAATACAAAAATTTGCAAGAAATCAAAGTACTAAAGAGCAACTGACTCACAGTGAACCCGAGGCTTTTGGTGCCCCTGCAGGCCTGGCCAACTGATCACTTTTCCCAGTTTGTAATCCAGCCTTGTGGCCAGGCATTTATATCGCATGAAATTTTGGATATATTGGGCTACATATCAGCTAATTAGTACCAAATAAATGTATGCAAGATGTCCTGCTTTATCAAAAAAACATATTTATGTTTTAGTAGAACCATAGACTATATATAAAACCACATTATTTCGGTTTAACGTGAACATTGGACACAACAGCCGTTTCTATGGCTTCTCAATATCTGCTGTTTCATTTACAACTTAAGGTTCCACGTTGTCTGCCTCCTGGAAATTGAAAATAAAAAGTCAATCTCATTGTCAATTACATAATCATTATAGCACTATTATACATTGAAGTACAAAGAAGTTTGGCAGTGATTGTGCATTTTCAAACATGGTTTCTAATAACATTTTTAATATAACACATAAATTGAAAATGAAATTAAAATTTTATCAGATAAATTCATTTTAATATTGACACCCCTGGTTTTCTATATTAATCATCAGTGAATCTGCACCAATATCAGTCGAACTTTAAAAAAGAAATGATGCCTGTGATGTAGTTATCATTTTCAACAAGAACAATTTTTCCAGTGTTATTTGTCAAAGTACTTCACATACATTTGAGGGAAACTGATGACACTGCATTAAGCTGGAGTGCACCAGCATCTCACATCTCATCTCCCATTATGTTCATGGGTCATTCTCTCTGCAAAGCATCACTGGTGTTATCTTTCCCTCTCCCTCCCCCTCTTCCTCCTCTCCCATCTTTAATTTCTGTCATCCTCCAGGGAACCAAGTGAGTCATGCCATTAGCACAGAATGCTGCCATGCTAATGGTTGGTCAGTTTCCGTCATGTCCACTTCATGTCGCTGCACCAGTGGAAAACATGAAAGTCCTTTCGCTGCTCAGCATTTTGTATTGGTGATTATTACAGACGCTCCATTTATGCTGCTGCTCTTTTTAAGTCTTGTGGATTTTTATTTAAGTGTCTGACATTTTATTCTAAACTTTACACCAGTGGTTTTTAAACTGGGGTCCTTGAGTGGGTTGTAGAGGGTCCTCAGCAAAAGGAGGAATAGAATATTTTATTTTGGGAAGTTGGAAGGGAACAAGTGAAGAAATAAGGTTTGCCATTTTTATTGATTATTATTTAGAGTGATCCAAGTTTAATCATTGACTATGAAGACTTTATAATCTTGAAACATAAAAAATTGAGCATAGCGTTAGTTCAGGCAGGGCACGAAGTCAGGCTTAGCTTTCAGTTACAGCTATATCATACGATCACAGCTAGTCATAAACATACATCAGCTGATTCCTAGCTGCCTGCCTATCTCTGCTGCTGCTCTACAAGCCTTTTGCACCCACCTCCACCCCAGCTCCTCCTTTTTATGTTGTTTCTAATTAATCAATGTCATTTTCTGATTGCCATTGATGCTGCTCTGTTCTGTACCCTGGGGGGTCTCTGCTGCCGCTCTCCTTGTCTTAAACTTTTCCATGTAGGCACATGGAAGGGCAGGGAGGTGTGCTCTCCCTGCCTTAAGGTTTTCCATGTAGGCACGCGGAAGGACAAGGAGGTCCCAGAAGCCAAATGTAAATTCTGCTTGGGATATAAAATATTTTGACGAAAGTGGTCCTGACTGAAATAAAAAAATACCCAGAGGGCATTCCTTAAGAAAAAATCCTCTCAAATTGGATGTCTGTGGTCTAATAATAATAATCTGGGTCCTTGACATGAAAAAGTTTGGTTCTGGTTTACTCCACGTAGACTTTCTAGAATGGACTCCTGATTATGGCTCATAAGTATGAAGTTTGGTTGGTTGATATTTGTCCAAAAGAGACCTAGGCCTACATGCCAGTAGGTTGTAAACACTGCTGATAAGAGCGGTGAGTCAAATCAAATCAGTAGTTTAAGGCCAGAAAACCAAAACAATGAGCTAAAAGACGCTAAAATGCTCCTTAGAACCAAGCAGAACTACAGCAACTTCTTTTACATAAAGGTAGTCATGTGATCCAGTTTTATCATGAAATATTGATTATAGTAGCTTTTAGTGAGTCAAATCTTTTTCTCTCATCACATTACATGTGTTGATTAATATTACCACTGCCCCAGTCGTCATGACAGTGACGATGATTAGCTTTTAAGAAGAAATGTAATTAATACAAATCATTATTTTTCACATATTGAATTTACCCCAAACATTTACTTAAAAAATATATTTTATTTTGGTAACGGTGATGATTTTGTAAGAATCACATTTGTCAAACATCAAGCCATAGTGCATAAATATCAACCTGTTTTTTTTTTTTTATCTTGAACGACAAAGACGGTATGGGAAATGTAATATAACATGAGAAATAAAGACCTTTGAATTTATATTCATTACACACAGTTTTTATTTTCATTAAAGGGATCCAAGGCCTTCACAAAAGGGTTGACTCTTGGTAGCTATACAGTACTAACACAACACACAACAACAACAGAAACAACACAGAGGACTTATGTGAACGAGTGAAAAGACAAATAAATAAGAGTTGAAAGACATTTCATATGAGTTTAAACTGAGATGCATCAACAAAACCAATAGTCAGAGGGAAGTGAGCAGAGGTTAAAACCCTGCAAAGTACAGTAACGGTTTTGTACAATATTCGATTCATTTCAGTAGCTGATTGTCTATAGCGGCTTATTTTGGTCATGCACAGTTTATAATGTCATTTCTATTGTATGGACAGTGTTGCAATAATTTCACAGTTTTTTCCATTTTTATCTCCTCTACCTCCAGCTTTGATTGTCAGTCTCGCAAGCGTTTGCATTGATGGTTTGAAGACGGCCTCATTTTTGTTTGCTGTGTAATGATGCTTGATTGTCACTAGCTGATGGCGATGGTTCATTAGTGGAAAAAAACCCTGCCAATCCAAGTATGTATCACTGCTAGATCGGATAAAAAATGAAGTATTCATATATATACATATATGTCTAAAATACAAAGAAAATGGCTTTACTGTAGTTTTTGGCAAAAATCTGTGATACCAGTAAATATGTAATATGTTCATGTTTAGCCTTTTATCAGACAATATCTGATGCCAATATTGATATGGTGTATCCCTAATAATTTATTTTAACAAATGAATTTGTGCTTTGAGGATGATTCGAGTCCACAACGTGCTACATTCTTCCCTCCAATAATATCTGACAATATTCCACAGTTATCTTCATCATACACAGATGTCTGTACAAAAATATGCAATATCAGTCTTAGTGTAATGTTGCTGGCAGGGTAGGTAGGATTTACTTTTTTTATGGTACGTTTTTAAGTTTTAGTAAAAGTGATTGCCATAAGCAAGTCTAAAATCTTCACAGTAGCCTCACACAGCTTAGGGAACAAGCTTGCTTTCACAATATCATTGAGCTGCTCAAGTAACAAGAAACTATGGTTACACTTCACAATACAGACATCTGCTGGCATTTACTTAGTACCACTGAATCACTTACAGCATTTCTGTGTGGTTGAGTTATAATTATAACCCTTACATTTGCTCAGCATGTACGAGCAAATTTTTTTTTCTTTTTTTCTTTTTTCTTTTTTTTAAGTATGTATAACAAAATCATCTAAGCTCAAGTTCACCTACTGGCTTTTCAGAGCTTTCAATCACATCTCACAGGGCATTTAGAGGCTTAGGCAGACAGGTTCAGTCTGCCAGTTTTTTATCCAGTGCTCTGTGTAATAAAGAGCACATTTTTTGTTATTATTGTTGTGTTTTGTTGGTGGACTGTGAAACTTTCTGTCCAAGTAAGAGTCAAAATGTTAAACATGATTAAATATGCTAACATTTATAAAAACTTGTTGCATCTCCGTAGACAGTATAACCTAAACCCTGACTTGATCCTAATCCTATTTAATCCTAAACACACCTCAAACTGATCTTATTTATAATCCTGACCTTAACTCTATGATTAACACACTATCCAAAAAAAAAAAAAAACACCTGCACCTGCAACCTGATAGTACTAAGCAAATACCAGTATGGCCAGAGTACTGTCAAGTGCAACCAAGCTGCTCTTGGTTGAATTTGTAAACATTTAATGCATTTCGGGGTCTGCAACTCATTGAGGCCCCTCTATAGCTCAGTCCTGTGCTTCCTTAAAACCTGTGTGTCCCCCATATTGTTTTCTTGACACATTTTTGTTACATGCCCCTTTTTTTCCCCTTCTTCTTTTGTGTTGCCGGTTGGCAGCGATTGTCTGTGGTTCACTGTAATCTGGCCCAGTACTGACCCAGGTTATGACTCATACCCTGCTGCTCAGTTCCTGGAACCTGGACCGGCACTGAAACGCCAGGTGATATGAGCCCTGAGTGAAAGAGAGGGAGAAGAGAGAAAGTTAGAGAGTTTCATTTACCTTGCATTTTAGAGAGCAGTCAGAGATAACAGACAAAGGGACTAAGTACTGAGTACGCTCACCAGTGTTGGAGTTGGCCGAAGGCGGAGTCTGCAGATGAGGGGAGGAGTACGCCGATGAGTCAAAGCTGCGTGGGGTAGAGGGGGATGGAGGTAACATGCAGGAGTAGGAGGAGGCCGACTGGGGAGGAATAGACTGAGAGTGGACATAAGAGTTGAGGAATGAGGGAGATTAAAGATTTGGATTAGATTTAAATTGAAACAAAGAAAAAAATAGTATATTATCAAAGAAAACATATTTTAAAGTTGCACATAGCAATTGTATGAAGTAGTGACAGCATTCAGTTTAACCACATGGGGGTGCTAGAGTACTGTTGTATTGTGGAGTGAAGCGCAGCAGCAGCATTCTTCTCTGTGTTACATATGCAAAATTATTTTATTATTATGTTTTGCTTCTTCCATTGTGGGAGACTACCAACCACTATTTTTTAATTGAATAATTGACCATACCAGATTGACACATAACAAAATAATAATAATTATTTATAAATATAATAACTTGTTTTATTTCTGCCCCTTTAAATCTTTGAACCTTATGTGGAAGCTAATGGGCATCCAAACAAAGCAAACAGATTACTTAAAGACACAAGAGACAAACTGAAAAGTCTGCTCATTGTGACCTATGCTGAAAAATAATTAAATGCATAGACGTTACATTATATTTTCTATATAAGTCACATAGTGCAGGCTTTTCTGTTCATCTAATGCATTCGAACATAAAATTTTATAGAAGAAGAAGAGATTGGGCATGTACAGTATCTCAACATTCATGTAAAACAAGAAACAAAAAAAACAAAAAATTGTGTTTTCATGCTGCTATTGAGGCTGGGATAATATTTGGTACAATCAAAGCAATGTGGATGATAATCGCTCTGTGTTTGTCCCTAAGAAAGGCTCACAAGCTTTCATATATGTATCCTAATTCAGGAGCTTTGTAACTGCTGTTTCTGTCAAAAATGTCTTGTTGTGCAAAATAAACCATCTAGTTTTAAAATTGATTTCAATACTGTTGATCCCCAAACAATGGCAAGGCCTCCAAATATCTTTTGACCCCACTTTTAGTTGTTGTATGTTCTGCTTGATAATCTTTGATGTGATAAAGCGTAAGAGGTCACAAGAACAAATGTGCATCTCCTGTGTCTTGAACTGGGTGCTCTGAAGCTACACAAACAGTCTTGGAGAAGCAGTCTTGAGGCTATTATTCTGTACAAGTGTCACAATTAAACCTAATTAGTTTTGACGTTTTGTCACTTTTTTGCCTCTTCAACCAAGTCAATATAAGACATTAAACACTATATAATATCTCCAAATTAGTTTTTTTCTGGCTTTCTTCCTTCTTATTATTATCATATTATTGTAGTTGTTATTATTAATAAATAATGACAGTAAATTATTTGTTATCATAATTGTTAGGCATTTGACCTGGGCAACAGCAAAATTAAGAGCTTTGATAAGAAGCAGAATAAATTATGTTATTATTATTCATTTATGTATTCATTTTCCATATCCTATGTCTTATACCGGTGACGTAAAGTTCAAGAGGACAAGTTCTGCTCTGAGACGATGACCTGCTTTGGTAAAGTTTGGAAGGTGCTGATGAATGATGAATGATGATGAATGTCCAACCTGGACTCCAGATGAGAAAACTGACAGGGAGCTGTAGCTGGGCAGGGACGACTCAGCCTGACTCAACATGGACCCTGGAGAGAGACACACAGAGCGAGATGATAAGCACGCACACGCACACGCACACACACACACACACACACACACACACACACACACACACACACACACACACACACACACACATCCACACACGTGATGGGAAGATCTCGCTGTGGAAATGTTGTAATATAGATGCGGTCTAATGGAAAAACTCTAATGGTTTTCCTGCCTGCTAAATGTCAAGCAAGGGAGCTCTGAGGGAGGTTTATAATTATAAACTTGTAAAATATTTCTGTCACCAAATATATAAATCATATAGCAAATGCAAACTCTTGCTTTAGGTATCGCTGATGTGCTGTATGAATGAGCCAATTAACATAGATATTGTAATTATTACTAGAATCAAACATCCATCTTGCAGCAAGGTGACCTGCTGTTTACCTGAACTGCTGCCGTGCTGCTGATGATAGACAGACGTGTTGAAGGAAGTGGTCAGAGGGGCTTGGCTCTGTGAACAGGAAGTTACGCCCCCTGACCTCCTTTGATTGCGCAGCTTCTCCTCCCTCCTCCACTTGGCTCTTCGGTTTGAGAACCACACCTGTCAATCAAAGAGTTCTCTTCATCATGAGACTGCTGCATTCTGTTAGAGGTTGAGCATCAGGGTTATACACATTGAGAGAGCTCCTTACCTGTATCCTGGCCTCTGGTAAATCAATCTTGTTTGCCAATCTCTCCCTTGCAAAGACATCTGGGTAATGTGTCCTCTCAAACTCTGTAGAAGAAATTAACTAATGTCAAATACACAGTCTGAGTCATAATCGAGGATGACGGGAAGACTGGAGAGCAGCTCGTCTGATAACCCTTGCTGCGCAGTGGTAACATATTTTGCATTTGCATGTCTTTTAATGTGAAAAGAAAAATCAAGATTGAAGCAGATTTATATGAAAATGAATCTTAATCACTCGCTAATTATCGGGTTACTCTGACAGATACTAACCTAAATATCAGGTAATTATTGCTCATGATCAGCACCACCAATTATCTCGCCATGGGACATACAGATCCAGGAAGCTGAGATGTATCCTTACAACCATATTTGAAATATTTATCTGTTGTACTTTGTATAAATTATTTATCATTATGGAACACGCAGAAAGTTCAAATGAAAGGACTCAAGTTGAGACGCTGCCTAAGCACTTAGGCTGACTAAAACTAAAGTGAAGACTAAAAATGCTTTAGGTTTTCATTTTGTCATCATTTATTCTCTTAAGTCTCACTCATCAGCATAAACATTTTATTAAAATGATCAGTATCTGGTACACTGACTTACAGCATACAGCAGACACGGAGGCTTGAGCTAAGTTCATTCTTTTAAACAACAGCTGAGACTTTCTGTATCAGAGTATCATTCCTCATTGTGGCAGTTAATTTATAGTTGACAAACTGCTGACATTTTTGTCGTTGACAAGTCAAAACGAGAATATGCCTCACCCTCTAACTGACAGTCTGAGTCATCCTAATGAACTCTGAAGTTTCAGGTCTAGTAATGGAGACGTCCTTATAGATTTAACTGTCTGCACTTATGATATTAGTTTAGCATGTCAATAAAGTCAAGAGACAGACTTGGTTACATATGAAAGACAGCAGGATGAGTGATTATGTTTATTTTGTTTAATATAAATAGCTGAGAATATAATATCAACAGATTACCAGCACTGTGAATAAGTAAAGACTAAAGTTCACACTGGTGACACATGGTTAACAAATCCATATTGCACAAAGATAATGCTGGCTCTATGAATTAAGTCTGTCTCACAAATTGTTATAATTGGCTTGGTTATAATTGGCGTCTGTGTCAACACATGATTGTTATTGTGCCTTGGCCGTGCACTGAGGTCAGCGTACCTCATTAATGTCATTTGCACAGAGTGACCACACTGATACATTTCCACTCGGCTGCACAGTGGACATTGCGTCCTTATTTAGCTCAAGGGCCTGCTGCAGCCATATCCAGTCAAGGGTGGCTTTCTGATCCCTCTCAGCGGATATCAGGGCTACGAGGGCCAGATCTCACTGTGTAAAACAGCCACAGTAATGATGCATTATCAAAACGCTGCTGTACACGCTGCCAGAGGCTTTTTGGAGGAGATCAGGAATATTTGTGGACCTAAGATTCTGGATCTTTTGCATCTGGAAGTTATCATCGGTGGCAATCCATGTCTCTTTCTAGTGTTTAATGTACCTTAGATCAGTAATCAGGCACTTTACCCGATAAACAGCCTGATTTTTTGCGTGTGAATCTCCTAGTATTTACCAAAAGTCTGTAAAAAAAAAAGGTGCAAAGACTATAATCCAATAACAAAGGTGTTGGCAGGGGAAAAAAGCAGCAGGATAAGCTGCGTCATGACATGCTTTGGTCTGGCTCGTGCCCATCGAGGGCAGCGATTGGCTGAAAAGCAAAGAGAGCGCTGTGCGTGCTTGCATGGCCTGACCTTTCTCCAGAGCCTCGATCTGCTCCTGTGTGAAGCTGGTCCTGTTCCTCTGCAGCTTCCTCTTGAGCTGCAGCCTCAGCTGAGACTCCTCGCCCTCGTCCCTCTCCACGGGGACTCCTCCCCCTCTGCCCGTTCCCCCTCCCCCTGCCTCTCCCCCCATGCTGCCCTCGGTGTCCAGCAGACAGCCCTCAGACACTGGCAGAGAGGAAGGTGACAAAAGAGATGTGGGAGTGTCAAGAGAATTCGTACCACGGAGCGTCACAGCTTAGAATAACGGCGAGATTCATGCTTTGAACTGACAGGAAGTTGGTGAGACAGCCACAAGTGCCAAATTTAACTGATCATCTGTGAGCATTGACGTGTGTTGAGAATTTCCCCTCACCTGTGCTGTGTTGTGTCTGAACGCTGGTGGGGTCATGGTACCAGTTGTTAGGCCCACTCCAGTTTGAGCCGCTCTGCAGGTTCAGCATGGTTAACTTCTCATACATAATACGAGTGTCCAAACCACCATGAAGAGAGATAAAGGAGTCCTGTCCTGTGCGTGTCCGCCCTGTTTACTGTCACCTTTGGCTGCTCTCTCCCTACTTCGATCTTCCAGTCCTTCCTACTGGAGGGTGGAAGAGGAGGAGAAGAAGAAGGAGGGGTTCATATCGCATGAGTTCACACATGGTTGGCATTGTGGTGAATTAGCCTCATGATGACAGACAGAAATGGAGTTAGTTACATGCCCGCTGTCGTAACGTGTGTGTGTTATACATTGGTATGCTAGTATACCATGGGGAGGTAAGGTACATTAGAACCCACTTTGAAAGCCATGACATTTATTATGCTACTTGCTTTTAACTCTATCTTTGCTGGCGAGCCCAAGCATCCATGCGCACACACGTATGCATGAAAAGACATTTATATGTAGCCACGACCTGGCATCGCACACACACAGAAGGTTTATGAGCAAGATCAGAGATGAAACAATTGAATCAAGCCGTTGTTCAACTTCCAGGATAAGACATGAAGTGCTCAAGTATGTCGATAAATGATCTGCATAAATAAATATAGGTCTAATAAAAGCTTTTCTCTGCTTATCGTACATTTGCCTTTTTTGGAAATTTCCTCTTTGGAGAGTCAGAAAGGAATGCAAAGGTATGTCAATACTGACCCAAATCTCACAAACTACTGCAGCAGCATGATGTCAAAGGTCAAACTTCATTCATTTGGAGGAGGCAGCCCCAGAACGACAACTTATTAATCCGATTTTATGTTAAATTCAAAAAAAAAAATCAACTTGTCGTCGACCCCAAAGCCTCGACCAAAGTCGGTATTTAAGAAGCGATCTCATGACGTTCACACGAAAGCACTGCAAAGACTAGATTTGTGCAAACTTACCAAGTGTCCAGGTGAAATGGTGCTGGGGTCCTGTGTGTTACTTTCCTCCTCTGTGGACCTTTATTCCCCTGTTCCCCCCACGTCCCTTGTTCTCCAGCTTTGTTGACAACACTGTGTGTGTGTAAAGGAGAGAGTAGGAGAGAGATGGAGAGAGTTAGACAGGGTGAGAGAGAGTGAAAGAGGGAGAGGGGGGGGCTCTGGAGAGAAATGCGTCTGCGGGCACTCTTGTCCTCCAAGCGATAGAGAGAGAGAGAGAGAGAGAGAGAGAGAGAGAGAGAGAGAGAGAGAGAGAGGGAGCCACCGAGGGGTGACAAAGTGAGTCAACATCAGTGTCAAGTTTGAACTTAATGCCAGCGAGAGGAGGAGGGGAGGCCGAGAGAGAAGAGCATAAAGCACAGATAATGGAGCGATAGTGGAATTCAATTTTAACCATAAATTGCACATAAGTATTAGAGTATAATTGGAAGTCTAAGGCATGTTTCACACAAACACATGTACAACCAGACAACTGACATTATTAGAATAAACTCAAAATTCACACTAGTAAGGACTCATTTTTATTGATCCTCGTTTGGATACTTAAAGAGATGTTTTAAAACTTGAATAAAGCTTTGACATGTCTATGTTCATCTGCTATTGTATTGTTTTGTATTGCTGTTGTAAAATACTGCATTCAGCTAAAAGATATTATTAGGTAAGGATAAACGATTATTGGGAATTATCATGATTATTATGAAACGAATATCAGGCTTAATATTGTTATTCATTTTTATTATCCGTTTAAACCACTGAAGTAATAAATAGTTTTACATCACAGTAAAACAGATTTATGTAATTATAAAAAGTGATATATGGCTTAATAATATATTATTTTATTGATTTGATCAGTTTGAGCGACTTTTAGGTTAGGTTTAAAACTAATTCATATTATTGATTTCCTGATCTATCTGAAACAAAGATTTGATAAAGCTAAAATTCTTGTTACAAAAGATAATGTTACAGTCTGTATTATTAATCATTAAAACGTATTTATAGCCAGGTATCTGATAGGTAAAGATGAGTAATATTCAGCTACTCAATAACTTGTTTGAAGGAATTATTTATTTTACATGTTAGTTAATGTGAAGAGAGAAAATACTATTAAACCCTACTGAATTTCCAGATATTTGTTTGACAAAGATAAGTAATAATAAATACTTCTATTAGATTTTAAACTAATTTAGTGACATCAAAAAGATTTTCATAATATAACATGAAATAAGCAAAGGTTTCCACTCTGTAAGCTAAAGATGCGGTTTAAAAAAAAACATGTATGAGCTTGGGCTACAACTAACTGTTTAATTTAATTAATTTTTTTTAATCATTTTTGTGATTAATTGATTAATTGTTTGGTCTATAAGAAAATACAGAAAAATGCATTTTTCTTCAAAGTCAGTCCAAACCCCAAATATAGCACACTGAATTAACAATAATGTAAGAAAACGCAGCACATCATCAGATTTCTTTGGTATTTTTGATTATTGAAAATTATTATTATACACTATTTTGATAATTAACTTAATTATCAAAATAGTGGCAGATTAAGGTTCTGTTGACTAATCGATGACTAATTGTTTCCGCTCTACATTAATCTTTAGCTTCTTCTCTTAATCAGATGTTTGATATTATGCTAATGCGTGAGTGATAGGCCCACTGTAAAGATGCGGAAGGAGGGCAGATAAAATAACATCTGTTTGTTTTTTAACTCAGGGCTATAAAAATGAGAAAAGAGTTTGAGTAACAGCTTCTCCAACAGCACCTATGTATTGTTCCCTGACTACAGAGGTATTGTTCTCCTGCTTTAACACACTGGCCTTAAAGCTATGGGACAACAAACAAAGGCATTGTCTGGCCTCAGACAGGTTAAAGGAGCACCATAGAGAAACCCTTAACAACAGACACACAAGGTCTGATGTGAGGCGTAAGTAATGACGCAGGTATGACGGTATGTATGGTAGAGTCAAAGAGCGAGAGCCGAGTAGAACCGGGGTTTAAATATATCTCTTTGCAGCGGAAGGGAGAGAAGAAGAGATGGAAGATGGAAGCAGGGAGGCAGAGGAGAGAGATAGAGAGAGTGAAGAGGAAGTATGTGACTTTGGGGTGGGTGTAGGGGCTTGGGGATGGGAGGGTGCCAGCTTGTTTTATTTCCGGTTGACAAGACTTTGCGCTCCCTTTCTCTCTGTCGCTCCCTCTCTTTTTCATACTATGCTATTCTTTCTCCTCGCTGCCCCCATTGCTCTGTCTCTCTCCCCCCTCTTTCTCTGTTACTTTCCTCCGAGATGTGCCTTGGAGAAAGGAAAGGATTTGACAAGTTCAAAGGTAAAAAGGAGTAAGAACAGTGGTGGAGGAAGCATTCAGATCCTTTAGTTAAGTAAAAGTACCGATATGACACAATAAAAATATCAAAGTCATACATTCAACATTTTACTCAAGTAAAATCAGAAACGTATAAGAGTATCAAAATTAGCACTCATTATGCTGAATAATTATATTATTGCATTATTATTAACACGAGAGGTGGGACTTAGGCCTATTTAAACTAGTTAACTCCAATGTTGACTACTTTTATCTATCACAGTGCTTCCTATTCACACATTCCCCTTGTGTTTTGTGTGAAATCATAATCTGCACCATAACAAGTTACTATATCTGTCCAAAAGAATAAAAAATTACCTCTGAAATTTAGTGAAGCAGAAGTATAAAGTAGAAAAAATGGAAATACTCATGTACAAATACCTACAAATTGTACTTCCATAGAGAACTTGTGAGCTGAACACATAAATGAGGGCAAAGAAAGTAAGTGAGGGGAAGTTGAGTAACAAAAGCGTTTGATTAATTTAAAACTAAACCTAAAAACATGGTCTCACACACCCTTCCCATCCCTCCCAAGCTTTCTAGCTGGTTATGCTTTTGTTTTCCCTTTATTCAGAAATCATGGTTGCATCTTATTGTGTTCCAGTTGTTGGAATGTGGCTTAACCTATGTGATCCCTATGTGCTGAGTGCAATAATGTGTGTGTGTGTGTGTGTGTGTGTGTGTGTGTGTGTGTGTGTGTGTGTGTGTGTGTGAGAGAGAGAGAGAGAGAGAGAGAGAGAGAGAGAGAGAGAGAGAGAGAGAGAGAGAGAGAGAGAGAGACGGCCGCGTGCTTCACTGCAAAGATTCATGTAGCTCCAGGACATGCATTTTTTTTAGTGCATCTTGTTAGTTCATTCCTGTCACCTCTCTCTCTCTCTCCCCCCCTTCTCTCTCTCGCTCGCCATCCCTTGCTTTTTCAGCGCTGAAGGGGGGATGGGGAAGGGGTGGTGGACAGGGCTGGGAGGGGAGGGAAGGGGGGGAGGCGGCGGCGGTGGAGGCAGTCACCATGGTTACAATGCCACGACAAATATTCATCAAGTCGTTAAAATAAAAACAAACGGGAGTGCATTATAATTGCTCTTACTGACTGGATCCTATAATGCGTTCATATATTATGAGTGAGGGGAGCAGAGTGGAAGTGGGCTCGCACACAAAAAGACACCGTTAGTGATTAAAAAAGTGATTATCGGCTGACCTGCAGGCAAACACATATGTGACACACACACACACACATTTCAACTCTATGTGTATAACTTTATTGTTCCATTACCTGTTTATGGAATTCCCTATGAATACTTTTGTGAGTCTCTCCTCTCTTTTCTCTTTGTCTCTCCATCTCTCGCTCTTCCTCTACTGTTGTGTAGCCCCAGGCGATACTGTGATGTGTCCTCCCTCTGTCCCTCCCTCCCTCTCCCTCTCTCTCTGTCCCTGTCACCTTCAATTGCTCTGTGAAACTAGACACACTGCCTGGGGCAGGGAGGCAGGGAGGGAGGGAGGGATAGAGGAAGGGAGGGATGAGAGGAAAAAGAGAGAAGGAAAAAGAGAGACAGCTTTATAGACAGACAGAAGGAATAAACATTTGGTGTCACGTAAAAAAAAAAAAAATAGGATAACCGTAGCCCAGATGTGTGGGACGTTCTAAAAAACAATCAAATGAGTTTTGTTGATGTTCATAATCCAGACAAAAACATAAAACGCTCAAATAATTTAGCAGCAGAAACAGATAATGAATGACATACACACATCTACCCAATTTGGGACAGTGTTTGACCTTTGACCTAGGTGTTTTAATGCTCATACTCCATGTCTTTCTTGTTCCTCAAACATAAACCTGTTAGACTGGTTTGTAATTTCCACCTGGCGCAAGGGACATGGCATATTCCTTGTGCATAAAACAAGTGTATCCTAACAGTGGAGAATGGAGTTAATTGTTTTAGGCCAATTGTAGTAGGTATAATATCAAGAAAACTGATCAGGAGAATAATAACTTTTAAGAAGAACATAGAATACACTACCTAACTACATGGTTTTACGATTTAATACTGTTGACATTGGTGGTTGCTTTTTAACCATAAATTGCTCATAAATGCTGAGTGCAACTGCCCGTCAAGTGTAGTTTTTTCACACAAAATCCAGAAACCAGACAATTCAAAGAATTCAGTTCACATTTGAAGAGGTTCATTTAATTTGATCCTCATTTAAATACCTAAAACAGATTATGATGTTTAAAACTTTGTCCATGTGTATCTGCAAATGTGTAGGACAAATAAGAATATGTTATTGTAATTTTGGAAGTAAAGAGAAATGATATTATAACAAAAAACAAAAACAGTAAAACATACACAGCCTAACTAATAAGAATATGCGACTCAAATAAAACATCCCACATAGAATATAATATGTTATTCTACACAAACGCTCCAATGCAACATAAAAACAGTTATAAGAAATATAATATAAATATAAAAAACACATGGGCTAACTACCTGTTATCACTTACTAATGTCTGGGCCTGATACTTGTAAACATTTTGTATAGGAAAACGCAAAAACGTTTGCAAAGCCTTCCTGTAAAACTCTGTCCATGATGGCGCTTTAAACGGAAATGGGCGAAAATGACCATTTTGATGAGGAAAAAAAACCCAAAAACATAGAATAGAGGCGTAGAATAGAATCTGATTTGTCCGCGGTTAAATTCCTCTAATCTAATTGGCTCAGATGGGTTAGGAGGGCGGGACAAGAGTTTTGATTGGTTGTAACTGAGCACAGGTAGCTGGCTGTTTGTAGTCGAAGCGTTTTTCTTGGAATTCACCTGAAGCCTTTTTTGGTCAAACCTGGAGCCGTCCAAGGATTTTCTCGACGGTAAAACACTTGGAGAGGTGATTTTATCAGAGGACATGTAACTTTTTTTGTTTTTTTTAGCTAGATGTAACGGTGTGGAACAGAAACACTCTTTTTTTTATTAATTTGCGCCAAAGTTGGTTTCAAAGATAGTCGCTTTATCCCACTTCAGTAGTAGTTAAACTTATCTCGCAAAATGTCGCCGAAATGTCTATTTCCTGCAGTTTTTTGGTGCGTAACAGGTGAGTATCGACCGTAATATCTCCAGCCCCCCATCTTTTCCCTGCTCCCATGTCTGTTCTTTGTCCACCTGTAGAACATAACATGTACTCGTATCTAATTCAATAAAACTAAATTATTGCGTCGTACTTTAAAAAAAATCCACAGTCAGTAAACCATAAATGTAATTTTAATGTTTTACACATTTAGGTATTTTAGCTTCCTACGCCCAAGAATGTGGCCGACCACCGCTACAGGAGAACAGGATTGTGGGAGGGATGGACGCCATAGATGGAGCTTGGCCCTGGCAGGTAGATATACAGGTAGGTCCCTCTGAAGCATCCTCTGATATTGCCCTTAATCGTCTTTAGTATCCGTTCTGCCTGTGGGTAGTTATATGTGTGGTTTAGTCTAGGTCTTGTTTATCAAAGCTGACCTGCTGACAGGGTGAAGGGTTTGCCTGTGATGCTGAGGTGACTCACTCTTTTTCCTCCCCTGGGCTTCCAGAAAGACGCTGTTCACATCTGTGGAGGCTCCATCATCACAGAGAACTGGGTCCTATCAGCCGCGCATTGTTTCCCCAAGTAAGGGACTGTTTGTTATTTATCAGAGGAGAGGGGGTGGCTGAGGTCTGATTTATTTATTAATTTATTTATTTATTTATATTTTTAGGACTACAATTTTAGAGAGCATCACTGAGTGACTGGGGTAAAATGAATACCCATATTTTATTATATTAAATATACTAAACCTAACCCATTGCTTCCTATTTTCTCCAACACTATCAAAGGTAGGTAGTGTTGGAGAAAATAGGAAGCAATGGCTGACCTTTCAACCACTAGACATGCGTTTAATAGCAAGCCATGACCTGTTCCCTCGTCAGAAAAAAGGCCCAACTTACTGTGTCCTCTCCTATAGTACTGCTGATGTTACCAATGACAAACCCAGCTCTATACTGAAAATAAAATATTAACTAGTCCACCCCAATGCCAAACAACACTGAAGAGTAATTTGCATCAGTTATTAGCATGTGAGCTCACAGGTGAGCCAAACCATGGATGGCTCACCATGGACCTTTAAGAACTTTCACATTTATTTTTGCCTACAGGTAATAAGTTATTACAGAGAAGAACTCTGAGAAAAAGCTCCGGCATTCTTTAGGTTTTACTGGATGACTATGCAGGACATTTTGTTTTGTCTTACAAAACAAATTCCTCTAAAATGTGGTAAACAAAGTCTAGGAGCTCCTTTTTGTTACCTTTTGTCACCAGAAATAAAAGGTTTCACATTTCCCGACTAGCAAGTTTGATTCTGTGTCCCTCCATCTCCTTTCAGTCCGTCCGACGTGGGCTCTTACACGATCTACGCTGGCCGGTACCAGCTGAATGGCATCAACATGCAGCAGTCAGCGCATCGTGTGAATCAGGTGGTGGTTCCATACGGTTACGTCGAACCTCACAGTGGGAAAGATTTGGCATTGGTGCAGCTATCCACCCCAGTAACCTGGTCAGATTATGTCAGTCCCGTCTGCTTGCCCACCTCTGGCACACTGTTCCCGGGTGGCATGCTGTGCTATGTCACCGGCTGGGGGAACATCCGGGATGACGGTGAGGTTTCTCCACATCCATGTTAGCATGTGCACCGATAAGTTTTATTCAGTAGTTAAATGAGTTAGTCTCCCAAAAGTTATTTTGCTTTTCTTGGACTCAAGACCCTAGACTCTAATTCTGGATAATGTGAATGATCATTTCTATTTATGTAATAGGATATAAAGAAAATGATGATCTTTGTTGCTTTCAACCACAATGATTACAGATGCCAAGTAGGTCCATGTGTCAATAGGTAGTAATACATTTTTAATGACTTACTCTCTCTCTGTAGGTATCATTTACAGTTTTTCTTTACTAGAACGAGAACCAGATGGGTTATAGAAGCCAGTCCTTTACAGGGGATTAATATCTAGAAATCATTATGACTGGATAATAATTAAATATTTTCTTCACTGCCTTTCAGAGGAATTGCATTGTGATAAGATCAGAATGTAAATGTTGTTGTCAAATTAATTATTACAATCATGTTTTTGTTTTTACACGTCAACAATTTTGTCTGATGTAATGAAACGCACTTAATTGCACTAAACGTGAGTTTGTAATTTTATTCTAGCATACATTAGCCAAAGTGGTCGGTGGTATTTTTTAAGATTGTGGCGAAGTCACAGTATATCACAGTTTTGCTTTGATTTTGCTTGACTGGGCCTTCATATAGGTTTATAGTACTCTACTGTCAGCAGTACATACAATATAAAAGCATTTTAATGTCATCATGTATATACTGAAGGCTTTGATTACTGTTTTCTTGGCCCCACAAAATGATGATACAATGATGAAGGATTTAGAATTATTAAAAACCGGTACACCAGTTCATCAAGTATATCACCCAGCACTAATTTTCCATATAGTAATGCATATCTATATTCTAATTATTATTATGTTAATTTCCATATTCCAGCCGTCAAAACATTTCTTCCACAAAGATCAAAGCATGGTGGATATTTCTAATTGTGACTGGGAATTTATTCCATTCCTTGACTTTAGTATATCAACAGGTCCATCATAGAACTTATTTACAATAGATTTACACTTAAAATAATTCAGTTCAGTACAAATGTATTTAGCCCTGCAAGGATCATTGTCTGCAGCAGCTCACCCCCCAGACCAACAGATACACAATAAAAAGAAGAAAGGAAAAATGGTTAATCACTAGAAATAAAATGGTCTCACTCAGTCCTTTTGTTCTTCATCCCTCTGTGTCGTCTTATTCCCATCAGTCCCTCTGGCAGGAGTTGGGACTCTGCAGGAAGTGCAGGTGCCAATCATCTCCCTGAGTTCATGTCAGGAGATGTACCGGACAGACCCAGACAATCAGGTGGACATCCTGGATGACATGATCTGCGCTGGATACCAGCAGGGCGGCAAGGACTCCTGCCAGGTACTTTTAGATCAGCTGTTTGCACTGCCATGTTAACATTCACAATACACGCTTGCCTACACAAGCAAACTAAGAACCTGCATTAAAAATAACTGTGATCACTACTTTTCTGCAGTCAACCACTAAGACCTTCCTTTTGTGCACTTTGATACCTCCCAGTGGTGAAAGTTGAATAAGTCAGTGTGGGTTTGTGTCGTGTTTTCAGGGAGATTCTGGAGGGCCCCTCGTCTGCAAGATGGTAAATGGGACCTGGGTGCAGGCTGGGGTGGTGAGTTTTGGAGTGGGCTGTGCTCAGCCAAACCAGCCAGGTGTGTATGCCAAAATGACCAGCTACTCAAGCTTCATCAGCAGCAACATACCAGAGATCCAGCTGTACGGCCGAGCTAATCAGAACTGGTGCGGGAGGACTGCCGTGTTGGTCAGCTGTCTGTCCGCTCTACTGATCCTGCTTCAGAGATTAGACTCTTGATTTCTGGGAATTTAATGCAAACCAGGCCAAATGAAGGAGCTTAACAGTGATGTCTCATTAAATCAAAAGTTGTCCTAAATAGTAAAACGAGAAAACTGTACCTGACATGCACATGAAGCCATAATGAACATGAAATGTAATATAATCTTAGTTTTTAGAACTATAACTCTGTATTATGATCTTTGATTCAAAGCAGTTTTGATAGGTTTTTGTATATTAAATCAAAATTATGATCTAAATTAATTATGTGTTCTGTATTTGAAATAAATTGTTAATTTGATTCTTAAAATCAGGTCAATGCTCAGTTCAACTTCTGAGAGCGTAGTTTGGTATGTTGTATATGGACCACAACTTCTGTTTGGTTCTTTCAAAGCTTCCTTAAATCTTTCTACTTCTAATACAGCCACTTAGAACTGTAAATACAAAAACAATTGCCTTTTAGATAACACGTTGTTTGGAACAAATGTTACCTCATTTTTAGTTCACACAGAACTGCAAATTCTTTCATCTTTAATTGTTATTTCAAGTGTTTATTCTTAAATATGTTAAGGTCTTTTTTAAATAGCCTTCCTCACAGAAAACACACACTTAATCTCCGCTTAAATTGAACACATCCATTTTATTGTAGTTCATTAAATATCCAGAGGCAGAGACTGGTGATGACAGTTTTCTTTATTATAAAGAAGACGCAACATGTCATAATGGTAAAAAAGACTGCTCAGTAATGCCTATTAAAAAAAGCTAGCTTTTAAATTAATTTTAAGTATTCACTCAAGGTTTTCATGCTAGATAACAACTTTTACACAAATCAAAGTCTTGTCTTTTGAAATTGCAGGAAGGGTAAGTCAGGCATCAGGGGGAATGGTATCAGAGAGGATCATGGGAGAGCCGAGCTGCAACTCCTGCTGCAGTGATTCCAGATCAGCTGGAGTCATCCGGTGAACCTCGCTCCAATCAGATAAGAGGGAGGCCGAGAGGGGGGCAGAGTCATAACTGATGGAAGAGAAAGGGGGGAAAAAAAGAATTTAAGAGTGGCTCTTTTTTGATCATACAAAAAATACTTTGTTCTGGAACAGAAAAGAGTGCAGACATTGAAAGTCATTGGTCCCAGAAAAGATATGTACATGTAAGTCTGCAGCGCACTTTGCAGTATTTAAAATCCCCCTTGTTTCTTGTTACTTCACTTGGATGTTTGACCTTTAATATGCACACTGTTGTGCAGAGGCTGCAGAAAAGGAAAAAAACCTCTCTGAGCTAACCTTAAATCTGAGTTTAAGATGTGTACATATGCGGAAATTAGTTTGGCAGCCAATCACGGTCCAGTGTGCAGCATACCCAAGTGTGATGTAGAAAGTTTCTGCCAGTTGTGCCAGTTGTTAAACTTTTAATTTACATATTCATAGATTCTGCAGTGTTTTTTGTGGAAGAATCTGACACAAATCATAATTTCATTCTATTTGGGATGATGTACTTTTTGTCATAGGACTTGTTGACTCATCTCGAAACATAGCATTTATGGTTGACCATAAAGTTTGATTTTGGTCTCATCGTTCCAGAGGTTTTGAGGCTTGTCTAGGTGTTGTGTGGCGTATTTTAAGTGGGCTGTTTTGTGGTGTTGATGCAGTAAAAACTTTTTTCTGGCAATTCAAACTACTCCAACTACCTTTTCATTGTTTTGCTTTCCCCATGCCTCAGTATCCAGCACAGTCAGTGCATCCCTGGATGAAATGTGCAGGGATCTCTCAAGAGCCAAGAATCTCATTAGCTATTTATACACAGACACTGATTGAGATCAAACAAGTCACAGGTGTGGAAACTTACCCATAATAGCAATAGCCATTGCTAACTGTGTGTATATTATCAAGCCAAACACTCCAGGCCATGTAAACCTTTGATTGGGTGATTTCAGTTTATTATGATTTAAAAAGAGAACACATAATTATGTTATTATTATTATTATTATTATTATTATGTGAACTGGCTTCATCTGTCCATTATCCTTAAATATGTTTTTTGCATGAGTTTTTTTTTTTTGCAATGAGTTTTAAATATTGCTAATATTTCACAAATTCTGCCAGGGGTATTTACATTTATGAACACTAGTGTATCACCATAGGAGACACATTTTTAAGAGTCACTTTTATGCCTTAAAACAGCTTTAATGGGACCGCACACAAAAGCCACTTCAGTTTCGTCCAGCAGTTTTTCAGTTCTTGGTCAAAGCTCATAACTTTGAACTTTTCTGCTTTGACATTTACAGCGTAGCTCATTATAAGGAAGCAATTGTTAACTTAGAGGTGGACGATATATATCATTTGAGATAATATCGTCATTGTTGTTTTGACAATGTGCAAATTTCCATTATTGAGTATTTAAATTACTTCGCCAAAAATATTGAAACGCACGCGGAAACTCCTCACATTCACGGTGCAGCAACACTCTCTAAAGAATGGCAGGATTCAGTCACACGACTAGTGGGCCTACGTGATCAAATGACGTGTTCACGTGACCTCTCGCTAGCATCCTCCTTGCAACAGTTTAATAGCGCGTTGTGATGGTAGAGAGAAAATGCAAGCATCTCCAGTCCCTGAAGCTACCAGTACTTCAGATGATTTAGTGCCGAGACGTGGGTCTACCTCTCTGGCATGGAAATGGTTTAGTTTCAAAAATACTTTTTTAGCGCAGCGCCCAGATCGCTTCAAGTTGAAATCTGTTCAACTTTTAACACCGCTGGGCACTCGGAAAATGAGTTTTTGATTGTCTCAGCGCTAAAAACGCGTTTGGTGGACACAAGCCCTAACTCAGACAATTCCAATCACATTTTAAAGGATATCGACTGATTATCATTAGCGCCAAAATCCCCAAAAATAACAAGATAAGATTATTTTTTGCCCATATCACCCACCCCTACCAAAACTAAACCATCAAAGTGCACACATAAAGTAGGCTGGGAGACTCTTTATTGAATGACAGTGAGGTCTGGTGTTTGCACTTCGTGGGTCGACCTGCGTCATCCAATTTGGCTCTGAAATCCTGATCCTGACCTGGTTTTAATATCTGACACTAGCTTCCATATAAAAGGGTGAACTTTGATTTGTTTAACTATAGCACTATTTTAGGACACCTAAAATATATATCTGTTTTATATTACCCTGCCATTGCTGAGATTGTTAAACCAAATAGAGTTGAAACAATTAAGTATATGATTAGAAAATTAATCTGCAACTATTCTGACAAATGATACATGGTCATTTTTCCAGCAAAAATACTCTAATTTCTCTGGTTCCAGCTTGTCAAATGTGAGTATGAGATTTTGTTGGATGTCATATGATAATAAATTTAATCTGGTTTTGGGAAACAATGATTGGCATTTTTCACTTTTTTCTGAAGTGTAATAAAGCATGTAAATGTGCCTTGCAATAGTAACAAAGCAGGAATTTGGTACTTAAAAGACTGGAAGTTTGGAAGAACCTGAACTTGGACTGCTGCTGCCCCATATTAGGTAGAGCCGAACTTTAGAGCTGTAGATTTTGTCCATTACTTCTTGCATTACAATTACTTTAAGAAAGGATTACCATGCTGCAATTATGTACAAGAGGAATAAAAAATTAATAAATTAAATATGTGAATCTATCCGTTGAGTTCCCTTGTTGTGCTGCATCCATCATGATGAATCTGACATCACAAATATAATGACAGTAGTGTGAAGTACGCACAATTATACAAGGTCAAATAAAATTCTCAGAGCCATGTAAGCCTAAACAACAACTACCTGATGATTTACACACTATGAATGTGTAAAATGGATGCTGATACTGGTTTTGGTTGTGAAAGCTGTGTTGGAAACAAATCTAACATTGTATTAAACCTCACCTGTCCCGGTCACAATGTTGCAGGTCTGTGAGAGACTGGTTCAGAAGGTCATCCAGGTCAAAGCCCACGCCATACCCAGCCCCACTGCCTTTAGGGGTGACTGAGAACACGGGAGGTAAAACGTCCTCTACCTGACAGGAGAAAAGGGAAACATTGAGTCAACTGAACTTTGTATTCTTAAGATCAGTTCAAGGCAAACAGATTATTGTGACATTTAAGATTGGTATATGTACAAGCTATATGTACAAAAAAATAATGTTTCTGTATAGCTCCTATAATGGAAGCAACATTAGTGTTATGTCAGTAGATACAGCTTCTCTTAGGTAAAATGCTACCTGCAAAAAGCAATAAAATCTTTTACAAGGAAGACACAACGCAGCAGAAGAAACCTGAGACACACCTGGGACTTTGAGAGCTGCAGTGTCACTGTATGGATGTCAGGGGCAATGGAGGGCCCTTGCTGTCCAGTATCTGTGAATCCTAAGCTGGGATGAGGCTGTGAGGGGACCCCTAAAGCTCCACAGAGAGGGTTTGTGGTCTGTGGTCCGGATTTCTCCCCTACAGAGGGACACAGCTTTTCCATCGAACCAGCGCTTGCAGTTGAAGGGTTAGGGTGGGAGTTGAGGTTATTTTGACCTCCGATATCCACGTTCCCATTTGTGTCTCTGGTGGTTAGTGTTGGAGCTTTATTCAAAAAACTCTCAAGAGGAAGCAGCTGCACCTGAGGCTGAGGATCAGGCTGGGTTTGAGGTTGGAGCTGGGGCTGAAGAAAGCTCGAAGGTGGAGGTTGCAGTTTCCTGTTTGGTTGTGGTTGTTGCTGTGGCCTCGTCTCTAATTGCTGCCCGCTCCAGTTGCCCAAACAGTTGAAACCACTTTGCCCATTGCTCTCGCTGTGAGGTTTGAGCGTGTTGTTCTTAACAAAGCCACCAGCGACAGTCATTATATCTATCCCTCCACTTACAGCAACAACTATATCCGCTGGAGGCTTCCTCTGGCTCATTGAGAAAAGTAACGGAGGTTGCTGGGTGCTGGGAGGCTGGAAAATGCCCTGCTGGTTAGGTTTAACTTGAGAGATTAACTGTTCGTGAGACTGAATCTTACTCGCCTCCTTCTCTGTTTTATTGTTCAGTGCTCCTTGAGCGTTCTCACCAATGGCTACGCCCCGGTGTGGGTTCACATTGCAGTCTTTATTATTTGCTCCATCGTTTTTAGGAGTCTGAGTTTTCTCATTGCGTCTGTCCATCATCTTTGTCCAACGCTGCAAAAGGCTTTTGTCGTTGTCACTCAGCAGAACCCCACCCAGCAAGTCCCCCTGCTTTCCCTCTCTTCTCTCCTTTTCCTTCATTTTCCTCTCCTTCTCTCTTGCCCGTTCCTGCCGCTTCCTTCGTTTCTCCTCTCTTTCTCGTTGACGCTCCT